GGAAGGTGTCCCTGCCCATGGCAGTGGTTGGGATGGATATTCTTTAAGGTCCCTTCCAACTCACACTGTTCTGTAAGTTATGTACCTACTCCAAGGTGTTCAGCCTAAAGAAATTCACGTAAATAATTTTGCTGTTCTTTTCACTTATCTCTTGTTGTGTTTTACAGTACCGTAAAACACAGAATAAAATAATTTTTCTTTGCCCTTTGGTGTCAGTTGTTGACTCTGTGTTCCCAGTGCATTGCCTTCATCCCTTGTTGTGCCCTTTGCTCCCTAGTCCAACATGGTGATTGGGAAAGCGCAGATCCAGGTGGCCAACTGGAAACACAGAATAAAATAATTTTTTACAGAATAAAATCATTTTTCTTTGCCTTTTCATATCATTTGTTGACTCTGTGTTCCCAGTGCATTGCCTTCATCCCTTGTTGTGCCCTTTGCTCCCTAGTCCAACATGGTGATTGGGAAAGTGCAGATCCAGGTGGCCAACTGGAAACACAGAATAAAATAATTTTTTACAGAATAAAATCATTTTTCTTTGCCTTTTCGTATCATTTGTTGACTCTGTGTTCCCAGTGCATTGCCTTCATGCCTTGTTGTGCCCTTTGCTCCCCAGTCCAACAAGGTGATTGAGAAGCTGCAAATCCAGGTGGCCAACTGGAAACAGAATAAAATCATTTTTCTTTGCCTTTTTTGTATCATTTGTTGACTCTGTGTTCCCAGTGCATTGCCTTCATGCCTTGTTGTGCCCTTTGCTCCCCAGTCCAACAAGGTGATCGGGAAGGTGCAGATCCAGGTTGCAGACCTGTCGGAGATCCCACGCTGTAACTGCAAGCCCTCAGACGAGAACCCCTGTGGGCTGGAGTCAGAGTGCCTCAACAGGATGCTGCAGTACGAGTGCCACCCTCAGGTGTGCCCAGCTGGGGAGCGCTGCCAGAACCAGTGCTTCACCAAGAGGCTCTACCCTGACGCGGAGATCATCAAAACCGAGCGTCGCGGTTGGGGCCTCCGCACCAAGAGGAGCATCAAAAAGGTACGGTGTTGTGTTTTCTGAAAAGTCTTCTTTGCCCAGGATTTTTCTCCTGAGAAGCTGAGAAGTCTCAGAAAATAAGTATTGCTTTGGAATGTGGTCTAGAGGTTGCTCACCAACAGGTGCATCTTTGATTGGTTCCATGTGAATTGTGTTGGTTTAATGACCAATCCCAGTCCAGCTGTGTCAGGACTCTGGTCTGTCACAGGTTTTTATTATTCATTCTTTTCTAGCCTGCTGATGTATCCTTTCTTTTTCTTTAGTATAGTGTTAGTATATAATTTCTTTTAATATCATAAAATAATAAATCAACTTTCTAAGAACATGGAGTCAAATTCCCATCTCTCACCTCGTCCTGGAGACATCACAACACAGCAACCAACCCCCAATGAAAGGAGGAATGATGCATCTGACTCCATGTTCTTAGAAGGCTGATTTATTACTTTATTATCTATATTATATTAAAAATATGAAATTAAAATATAGTAAAGAATACAGAAAGGATACAGACAGAAGGCTAGCAAGATACTAATTGCAATTCATGATTCTCTCCCCAGAGTACAGCACAGCTTGGCCCCAGTTGGCCAGTAAGTCAAAAACAATTCACATGAAACCAATGAAACAATCACCTCTTGGTAAACAATGTCCAAACACACTCCAAAGCAGCAAAACACAGGAGAAGCAAATCAGATAATTATTGTTTTCTTTTTTCTCTGAGGCTTCTCAGCTTCCCAGGAGCAAAGTCCTGGGCAAAGAGATTTTTCCAGAAAATATGACAATGACAGTACAGTGAGCCAGAACAGGGCTGTGACAGCCATCAGGGTGGGTCTGGGTGAAAGCATCGCACTCTGCACTGTCACAGTTGTGTTTTCTGGAAAAAGCAGGCCTGAAGGGCTGCTTTTAAACATGGGGTTTAGCCATTAGTTTTATTAAATTCAGAACTTTTAAAATCTGTGTTTCATGAAAACTGTGCTACTGCAAATGTTCTGAGCTTATTGACTACTAAAGTCCTAATAAAAGTGAAGTATGTAGTGAAAATACTTACTGTAACAGTTCCTGTTCCTGAGGAGTCCATGGATATTGTCACATTGTCCTCTTAGAAGGAAAGTTGGAAGGTTGAAAGGGTTTTATGGACCTGACAACTGTTTTGTGTACTGAATGCAGGAACGGGGCTGCCTTTTATTCTGCCTGGGTGTAATTCTAGGACAGCAATTACCTGGTGCATGTATTCACACTGTGCCTACTAGACCAGTAAAGTGTAACACTTTTTGTGATGATCAGAGTCTTTTTTATAGGAAATGCTTTTTTCTGTCCTGCTTCCCTTTATGATTGTGGTTAGGATGCAGAGATTACTTAGTTTTGTTCTTCTTTGCAGGGTGAATTTGTGAATGAATACGTTGGGGAGCTGATTGATGAGGAGGAGTGCCGGCTGCGGATCAAACGTGCTCACGAGAACAGTGTCACCAATTTTTATATGCTAACTGTAACCAAGGTGAATATTGTGTCTTGTTTGATAGCAAATGTCACTCAGCAGCAGGAAACCTCTTTGCTTTCTAAGCACTAAACACATCTTTGTCTTTTTCCTTTAAGGACCGAATAATAGATGCTGGCCCAAAGGGGAACTACTCTCGTTTTATGAACCATAGTTGTAACCCAAACTGTGAAACACAGAAGTGGACAGTGAATGGTGACATTAGAGTTGGACTGTTTGCTCTTTGTGACATTCCTGCAGGTAAAAGGATGGCACTATTTTGGCATGTTTGCTTTTGTCTTGCAGTGGCCAAGTTCCTCACTTAGAATCATGGCTTTTTCTTTAAAGTTATTAACACCAGTGAAGTGTTTAGGAACTTTTCATTCATTGGTGTGGAGATGATACTTAAGGTTCCACTTTTAGCAGGGGTCTCATGGTAACAAATGCTAATGAAATGTTGTTGTCTTCCCTCAGTGTCCGTGTGGGTGAATTGTTTTTCTTTACATTTCAGGGTGTGGGTGAATTGTTTTTCTTTACATTTCAGGAATGGAATTAACATTCAATTACAACCTGGATTGCCTGGGCAGTGGCAGAACCGAGTGTCCGTGTGGGTGAATTGTTTTTCTTTTACATTTCAGGAATGGAATTAACATTCAATTACAACCTGGATTGCCTGGGCAATGGCAGGACCGAGTGTCACTGCGGAGCAGAAAACTGCAGCGGCTTCCTGGGAGTGCGGCCCAAGGTACATGGATGGAACTGGAGCTTCTCCTCCCAAACCCAGAGATTCTCTAGGCCAAAGAGGGTCTGGATTTATTTCACTCTTTAGCCTAATACTTTCTACCCTTGGAAGTCTCCAAAGATTCTATAGTCTGCCCTACCATGCTGTTGTGTCTGGCAGGAAGTTAATTCAGAAACATCTGAATGAGCATTTCTGGTTTTTAGAGCTTAAAAACTATTTTAAATGGATCTCATTTAAAAAGAATTCATGCAAATAATAACCCAACATTTACTTGAATGCTGGGGGTTTATAAGTGACTCTCTGTTGTTATTTTCTCCTTCTCAGACAGCATTTGCAACAGCAAATGAAGAGAAGGTGAAAAATGCAAAACTAAAGCAGAAGAAGCGGAAAATAAAAACAGAACAGAAGCAGATGCATGAAGATAACTGTTTCCAGTGTGGAGATGGGGGAGAGCTGGTCATGTGTGATAAGAAGGACTGTCCCAAAGCATACCACCTCCTATGCCTTAACCTGACTCAACCACCTTTTGGTAAGAACGGTGGCTCCTCCTGCTCAACTTCTCCTTCCTGCTACAAGACAGTGTTGGAGATGAAATGCAACATTCATGTACATAAAATACAGTGTTCACTTACATTAAATGCAGGCTTCATTTGCACTAAGTGCACCAAATTTGCTTTTGCAAAAGTGCACCACTCACTTTTAGCAGTACATCAGGTGACTGTTCCTAAATGGAACTGGTGGGCAGAGGCTTTGTCATACTTTTTTATATTGCTCTTGTTCCTCTCCTTGAATCAAACTTCCTTTTATTTTGATTGAAACATGAACATCATCTTTTTGCCTAAAAACTGCAGAACAGAACTGTGTTCAGTCAGATTCTTGTACATGAGAAGAAGTAGTGGCTGATTTTTCTGAACTTTGTTTGCATTCATCCGAGCATGGAGTGAGGATTAAAGGCCAGTGCTGTCTCCAAAGTGCACTAATTCCAATTCCCTTCTCTCTCTCCTCCCCTCCTCAGGAAAGTGGGAATGTCCATGGCATCAGTGTGACATCTGTAGCAATCCTGCCGTGTCCTTCTGTGAGTTTTGCCCCCACTCCTTCTGCAAGGATCACGAGAAGGGAGCCCTGGTGCCGTCGGCGCTGGACGGCCGCCTCTGCTGCTCCGCACACGACCCCAAATCTCCTGTGGCACCCGAGTACTGGAGCAAGATCAAGTGCAAATTGGAAGCACAGAATGCTGTGGAAGAGGCAAAGGAGTGAATTTGGTTAAAAACAAACACGGGAGGGGAGAAGAGGGGCAGCAGGCGATGAACTCAGAGTTTGCAGTGCCACACTCGGCTTTGTCCTCGGCGCCGTCACGTGTGAGCTGGAATGGGACCATTGAGCTGAGTGAGAAGGACCAGGCAGTGGTGTTTGGTTTTTATTGTTTGGTCTTTCTTTTACCCTTGAATGTGCTACAGCAGCTCTTACTGTTGGAAACCAGGAGCGTCTTGGCCTTTGAAGAAAACCGTAAACCTTTTGACAGTGAAAAGAATATTCTGTTTAAAATAATGTTCTTTGAGTGTAGAAAGCAAAGCATAGCCACATATTTATTTATTTAATTTTGAAAGGGTGTTGAAGATCTGGCTTTGATCAGTCATCGTGTCTTTAAAAACAAAACAGCGAAGCCAACGTAACTTTTGTGTCTAGTTTATGGAAAGAGCAAAGCCTCTCCCCTCTGTAACACTGAGATGCCAAACAGACAGGTGTGGGTGTCAGACCAGGTGACTCTGAAATGCCTCTGTTCCAGTACTTATTGTTAAAGGCATTGGAGAAGGTAGGTTGTCTCTCATGTTTACTTCTGAATAATATTGTGAAGCTTTTCCTGTGAGAAATCAGGCCTGTGACTTCTGGGAAGTGCTCGTAACACAAGGTCTGGCAGTGAGGAAGAAATGGTGGTGCCTTGCTCCAGAGCTGTCTTGGGTGTTTGCAGACATGCAAAAATTCAGAGTTTAATTGCACAGTGGTCATTTCTGTATCCCCACCTATATTTTGGAAAGCCCTTCCAGGCAGGAGAGGCTCCCAGCCTCAGCCAGAGCTGAAGGCAGCCCTGCCAGTGGCTTCCTCACCTGGTTTGGTGGCAGTTACTGAGTGATTCTTCAGTCCTGCCTTCTCAGGCTCCCCTTGGCTTCAGGGAGACTTGGGCACATGAGGGACCTGACCCATGTGCATGTTGGTTTCGATGGAGTGTTAATATTTTTTGTTGAGAGAGATCTTCTTACTTCAATCTTCATTGTTAATGGAGCTGAGGAACATCTCAGCACTTCCTCAATGAACAGGGTATTTTGTGTCTGGGTAAGGGGCCATATCCCAGCCAGCTGATGCCTCAGGAGATGGTTCTGTCTTGGGATTTCCTCTGTTAATCAGAGAGACAGACTCCTTCAGTGAGGCTTTCAAGGTGGCTTATGTTGGCTCTTGCTCCAGAATTTTTTTAGAAAACCTATATTCCTCCATTTTTTTGTGCAAGGAGCCACAGGGCACTGGTGTCCCCAGGCTGGAGCTAGTTTTGGTGACTCTTTCCCCCCCCCAGCCCACAATCTCACCAAGCACTGTCCCCCCATGCCCTGGTACAGTGAGTACTTCTGACTTGTGTACTGATAACAGCTACTCCCTGCCAGCCTCTGCTCGTGGGTACTGAAAATAATCAAATGTTGCTGGCATCTGGCTGAACTGAGCCTTGGAATTAAGAACCTTGTCTCTGGAAAACTGCTTACACAAACCTGTGGGAACACGGAGACTTCTCAGATCAAGAAAAAAAAATCCGTGTGGAATTTAGAGCGTGTCTTGCCTCTGCCTGGTGTCCTTCTCATCCTCACACTGGTGTACAGGGGGAGTTTTTTGTGTGTGCAATCAGTGATGGATACACTACAGTCCCTGAGCAGCTGCCCACACCTCCCTTGGGGTGCCAGACCCCACGGGTGCTGGGGCACTCCTGGGGCAGCAGCTTTGGGATCCCTAAAGCACTTCCTGCTGTGGGCCATGCTCCAGTCAGGGTCCAACACTAACCCTGCTGGAAAGCAGTGCTGGATTTTGGTATTTTTAAAGAAAAAAAAATAAGGTACAAAAAGGATTTTATTTTTCTTAACGTTTTGTGTGGGAAATGTCTCTTTTTATGCTCTTATTGAGGATGTTTAACCTTCTCAGAAATTCCAAACACAGCTCTTGCTACCATGTCTGTAAGGCCTGAGGTGTTCACTTTATATTCTTTATTAGGCTTGATAATGTTCAGTGATTTTCTCTGAAGTCAGAGCATTCTGATACTGCAGCTATCAGCTGATATATTTTATATATATGTATAAAAATATGTATATATATATATATATATCAGATATGTTGCTGATACTGTGCTGCTGTGTGAGTGCCCCAACCTGCTCCATTCATTCCTTGTCCATGGTGACCTACTGAGCAGAGGGACGGGGTGTGGCAGCACCAGGACACCTTGGGAGCATTGCACAGGAGCACAAACTGGCAGTGGCCACCCTGGCAGTGCCACAGTGCTCTGCCAGGGCACAGAGGGCTTTAAACTTCTCAAATGCTGTGATGGAGGCTGCTGTTCCTCCTGTGCCACTCCATGTCTTGGTTCACTTTGTGTTCAGACTTCTTAGAGATGCTTCTTTTTTCACCAAAAAGTGATTCATAGCAGCTTGGACCTGGGAGGAAAAACAGGAGAGGTTGTTTAGTTTGTGAACAAAACTCTGAACTGAAGAGAAGGTGAGTCTTTCAAAAAGCTTTAAGATTTAACATTATAAACAGGCCAGTTCAGAGCATCTTGGTGACTGTTCTGAGTGCCAGGCTCAGATGCTAAAATGTACATTTTAACCACATCTTTGTAAGCTGAGTAACCAGAATGTAGTTGCTTAGTGCAGCTCCTTTGTAAGGAAAAGATTGCACAGCTGTTCTGATGGATTGGCTTCAGCAGAGTGGGAGGCAGCTGCTGAATTAATTTGTGTGGGCTCCAAAATAAGGAATCATGAATAGTTGGGTCGTTTCATGCTGAGACCTAGGGGAAATCCACAGAATTGGTAATTTTGGTGGAGAATTGCAGTGTGCTGTCCCAGCACATTGTTTTTCCTTCATGGGAACACAGTGACATGTTTTTCACCTATTTTCTTGTTACATTTTTGAGGTGGCTCCACACTTCTGGTGACCTCCTGCCTCCATCTCTGGCACCTGGGCAGTGCCTGAGCTGCCCTGCCTGGGGAACAGGGTTTGTGGTTTACTGGAGCTTCTCCTCTGCAGCTGCACCTGGGCACATCCTGCAGCCCGTGGCCAGATGAATCTAGAAGCAAGAATTCCAGGATTCTGTGATTCCAGTGGTGCAGAGGCTGGTTCCACCATTCCTGAACACATTGTGCAAAAGCATTAGCTGTTGTAGCTGTCAGATTATTGTATAGACTTGTCCTGTCCATAGGCTTTTGAAGGTGTTTGCAGCTCAGGAAGGAAATTTCGTGGGCAAATCACCACATGGTCTTGGAGAATCAGTTCAAATGGAGTAATAGGGCTGGAATGTGGATTTTTGGCCTTTCTTCTTAAAAAAAACCCCTTCTTTTATCTTAATTTCAGGCTAGAATGGGAAAGACACAATTACTAGACATAATTATCAATGAGCATAAAATCTGTATATATTGAAACTTTACAGAATTATGTGGGAGGGGAGGGGGGAGGGTGGGATGGGGGTGTCCGACGCTGGTACGGAGAAGTCACTTTAACATGGAAACCTCTGCCTCATTGAATTCAGGGTTTAATGTACTTGAAGCTCTGCGGTTCCTTTTACAGCTTTTTTTTTAATTTATACATGATTTTTTTTTTTTTTTTTGTATACTGCATTGAAAAATGTCCTTGACTTCCCCCCAAGTTCCCTCCTGCTCCTGCTGTGCAGTGGATCCATGGCAAACGGGAGGGTTTGGGAGGTTTGTGCTCACCAGGTGTTGCGTGGGAGACGCCAACCTTGGAGCAGTGCTGTCCCTTTGCTTCCCATTCCCATCAGCTTTCCCCACCATTTCTCTTTGTGTAGCAAAAACATTTGCACTTAAGATACACTCCTACACGTTGGATGTATTCCCAGTGTTGTTCTGAGGGAAAAAGGAGGAAGAGAAAAAGGCAAAACAGGAAGAAAAGAAAGGTTGTTTCCTGTGATACTGTTATTTCCCAGTGAGCAGCTCAGGTCTGTGTTCCCCTGGGAGGGGTCCTGCTGCTCCAGAGCGGGAGGTAGGGAGCTGGAACTGTGCTTTGTGTAGGGGATTTCTGTGCTTAATGTGAATAAAAAAGGGAAAACATGTATGAATTTGCCAAAGCCATTTACCACTCCCTGTGCCCCAGGGCTGTGCCCTTGTTGTGCCACCACCAGCTCCAGGGGCAGGCAGCTGCCTGGGGTCCCTCTAGGGGGATCTGGATCTGGATCTGGAGGTGCAGCTGCCTGGGGTCCCTCTGGAGGTGCCACTGTTTGTAAGTTCAGTGGGTTCTTGCCTGGGGTCCCACCTTGCAGTTCTCTCTCACTTTTGGGTCATAACCAGACTGGATGAACCCCTACACTCCCTGTTCCACGTGGATCTGTATCTCATTTTGGTGTCACTTTTCCACCAAGCTCCCAGGGTGATCCTGTCCCATCTGAGCCAGGGGTTGGGGGTTGCATTTGGGGTGCTCTGAGGACCCCAGCCCGTCTGTCTCCACATGAGTGATGTTGCACAACGCAGATCCCCGCGGATCCGTCTCCATCCCCACGTGCTCTGTAAGATGGACCTTTGTAGAGTCGTTCTTTCTGTAGACTTTGTTTATCTGTAACAAACTTTGTAGATTCTGTGAAATGTTATTTTAAGGAAATCACTCAAGTCTTTAATAACAAAGCGTCGATATTCACCGGAGTTGGTTTGGAAGAGTTTTTGGACGCAGATGCAGCCCTGGCACTACGAGGAGTGTCTGATTCCACGGGGCATTACTGTATCATGACTTGATGTTGCATAGACTTTGAGATATCCAATATTTTGGGGGGTTTGTGTTGGCCTCTGTCCTCTTGCATAGTGTGAAGCCTGTAAAGCTGGTTCCCTGTACATAGATAGCTCCTGTCCTCTAGGTAGAGCGTATCGAGACTTGCCTGTAATATTTTAGCTTCTTACTGACTGTGTGTGATGGTAGAACATATAATTTTTGTACATTCTATTTACTGAGATGTTGCCTTTTTTTTTATTTTATTTTACAAATACTCTGGAATTCAGATGTGGGTTTTAGTTTGGTTTTTTTTTGTTTGTTTGTTTTCCTTTTTTTTTTTCCCTTTCGCTTTTCCGTGAGGAAAGATTTTTAATGACATTCCACTGATCTGAAAATCCGTTTTTTGTTTTGTTTTGGTTTGGTTTTTTTTTTTTTTTTTTTTTTTGCTTGAGGTTGACTTCAATAAATCGTTCTGAATGTTCCAATGATGAGATGACTCAGTTCCGTCTCGGGGCGGGGCGGGGCGGGGAGGGATAACGGGACTCTCCTCTCCGGTCCCTCCTCCGGACCGAGCCGGGCAGTGGCCATGCGGAGATCGGAGCTGGCGGTCGATGCCGCGCTGCGGGTGCTGCTCCTCGCCACCTTCGGGTGGGTGCGGGACCCCTGCCCTGCCCTGCCCTGCCCTGCCCTTCCCCGCCCGCCCCCGCCGCTCATTCGCTCGTCTCGTTCCAGGATCATGGAGTTCCTGCCGCCCTTCCAGCGCGTGCTGCAGCCCGAGGAGATGTGGCTCTACAAAAATCCCTACGTTGAAGCGGATCACGTCCCCACGGTCTTCATGTTTGTAAGTTTAGTGGGTTCTTAACGTGGTTTGGGTCGGAAGAGAGCTTAAAAGATCGTTTTGTCCCTCCCTCCCCCTCCCAGCAGACCAAGCCTACATAATCTGTGAACAGTTCCGGGGATGGGGCATCCACAGCTTCTCTGAGCAGCCTGTGCCAGTGTTTCCTGCATTTACTTGGATTTATTCTCGAATTACCAGCTCTCCTTTTAAAACAAAGCTGCTGCCTAAAAGCTTGTACTGCAATACAAGCTTTAGCTGCTGGCTAAAAGCTTGTACCTGCAGCTCCTAGTGCACGTTGCAGAAAGTGCAGGATATCGTATCCATGTGGATGAATAGCTGCGGGGAGGGGCTGTGAGGATGGATGCAGCCGGGCTTTGCTCAGTGGGGTGAGAGGCTCAAGCTGGAACATTTCCAGCTGAACAGGAGAAAGAACTTTCCTGTGTGGGTGACTGAGCAGTGACACAGGCTGCCCAGACAGTGCGAGTCTCCTTACCTGGAGAGACTCCTAATCCATCTGGACACAGTCTTGGTGATGTGGAGCAGAGGGGTTGGACTTGATGGTCCCCAGTGGTCCCTTTCTACCCATTCTGTGAGATTAGTACCAACCAGGCCGAACATACAGTGATTTTTGTCATATTTTGAGGCTTCACCATCCATTGCTGTTGGGATTTGAAGTTCATAAACTGATTAGGACTTTGCACTGTTGTCCATAATCCACTCCACGTCTCACTTAGCGGGTGTGTGGAAGATAGCACAGCTCTTGCTATCAGGGAATGTTTTCCTTGCAAGCAGCTATTTTTAGCAGGGATTTATTATCATCATTTTATTGTCAAATGTTTTCCCAACAGCTCTAGGCTTGCTTAGAAGAGTTTGCTTAAATCTGTGATGGAGTTCCAGGAGAGAGCAGTGTGTCAGAGGGATTGGTGAAGGGATTGATCTGTCACAGGTGTGAGGTCAAGGGCTGTTGGCAAATGCAGCTGGGGTTTCCTACAAGAGGTGGCCACTAAACATTAAGGACAAAACCTTGGGATAGCATTTGGAACAGGCAGTGTAAATGTATAAAGCAGGACATGTGCCAGGTGGGAACAGACTCCATGGGAGCCTGGCAGCCTGGTGAGGATGTCCCGGGGTGCAATCCCCAGGGCTGAGATGGGGATGATGATAACTGCCTGCTCTGAATCAGCAGCCGCCGAGGTTTTGCTGACAGAGCGAGGGTGCTGCTGACTGAGCGCTAATGCTGGGGCTTGCAGGGAGGGCAGAGCTGAGGTGCTGTGCCTGGGGACACCCCCAGCAAGCAGCCAGAGCAGCACTCTGCCAGAAGAGCTGTCTGAGAACCAAAGGACGTGCTGGGCCCATCAGGGCCTGCTGCAAATCCAGCTGAGGGGGGTTGTGTTCTGATTGCTGAGGACAGATTGCTGCTTGGCTTTGGGGAAGGGAATGCACTCAGAGTCTTGAGTAAGTGCCCTTGGGTTCTGGTGAGAACTTAAACCTGCTTCACTGACCCCTAAAATTCTCCCTGTGTCATGCAGTTCATCGCATTTCTGTCTCCCTTGTTGCTCATCCTCCTGGCGAGGCTGGTCATGGGCGCTGACCACGAGGACACGAGGGAAGCCTGCCTTGGTGAGCTCCTCCTTGTTCAGGGAAAGGCAGCTTGAGCCCTGCCCATGCCTGAACGTGCTGCACTCTCAGGTGGGGACGATGCTGATGTGACCCTTTTGCTCTTTCCCAGCTGCCAGCCTTGCTCTTGCCCTGAATGGGGTTTTCACAAATGCCCTGAAGCTCGTTGTGGGGAGGTGAGGACTGGCTGCTGCCCAGCACTGTGGGGGAGGCAGCTCTGCTGTGGGAACGTTTGAAGGAGCTGGGGTTGTTTATCCTGGAGAAGAGGAGGCTTAGAGGTGCCCTTATTGCTCTCTACAACTGCCTGAAGGGAGGTTGGAGACAGGTGGGGGTTGGTTTCTGACAGAACCAGAGGACACAGCCTCAAGCTATGGCAGGGAAGGGATAGGTTGGATATTAGGAAAAAGTTTTTCACCAAAAGAATAATAAAGCACTGGAATGCTCTTCCCAGGGAGGTGGTGGAATCACCATCTCTGGATGTGTTTAAAAAAAGCCTGGACATGGCCCTTGGTGCTATAGTCTGGGTGAGGTGTGAGGGCACAGGTTGGACTGGGTGATCTCAGAGGTCTCTGCCAACCTCATCATCCTGGGATTCTGTAATAGCCATGTCAGGGCCAGGAGCTGAACTTGGACATACTCAGCCTGGAAATAATGTGGTTTTTTTCAAGCTGCAAAGACAATATAGAAATAGAAAAAACACTGTGTGGAGACCCTGGGAGGGGGGCATTCCCTGGTCTAGGGAGACACAAGAAGCCTCCCTCAAAAAGCTGTTAGACCCCATTGGCTCCTTCCCCTGTTCCTATGTCCGTTCCTATGTTCCTGAGCCACTCCCTCCCTATTTCCTGATTGCCTCTCACCTTTGTGAGACCAGGGACAGCCCCCAGGCCCCTGCAGGGAGAAAGCTACAGGGTGCTTTGTCTGTGTGTGGGTGCTGGGACCTGAACATCTGTGGATATTATGCAGAGATCCTTTTTGCTTCCTTACCCTGGACTATGCCAGCAGCAATTCACCCTGCTCCAACACTGGGGAGCTGCTGTCTCAGCCATCACTCAGAGGGGCTCACTTAGGCACAGGCTGGGGAGGATGGCGTGGGCACAGGCTGCTCCCTGCTGCCCTGCTGGGGCTGGGAGTGCCCAGGCAGGAGGGCCCTGAGCTGCACTTCCCTGTCCCAGGCCACGGCCCGACTTCTTCCACCGCTGCTTCCCGGACGGCCGCGCCAACGCGGAGCTGCTGTGCACGGGGGACGCCCGCAGGGTGAGCGAGGGCAGGAAGAGCTTCCCCAGCGGACACGCTTCCTGTGAGTGCCAGCCCAGAGTCTCCTTCCTGCCACAGCCCCCTGGGCAGCTTGGGTTTGTTTTCCTGCACCCCACAGCTTTGGCTTGTAGCCGTGATATTTGCTGAAAAATCCTTCCCTTTAGGATTTTTTTTGTCCTGAGAAAGCTGAGAGGCCTCAGGAACAAAATGTAAGCAATGGTTATCTGCTGCTGTGGGATGCAACAGGTGCATCTGGGATTGGGCTCATGTGGATGTTTCTAATTAATGGCCAATCACAGTCCAGCTGGCTTGGACTGTCTCAGTCAGTCACAAACCTTTGTTATCATTCTTTTTCTATCCTTAGCTACCCTTCCAATGAAATCCTTTCTTCTATTCTTTTAGTATAGTTTTCATATAATATATATCATAAATTAATAAATCAAGCCTTCTAAAACATGGAGTCAGATCCTTGTCTCTTCCCTCATCTTAAGACTCCTGCAAACACCATCACATTGGCTGAGTTCTGAGAGGGATTCAGGTTTCCCTCTGCAAAGCAATGGGGTGAGAAATGTGGTCCAAAGCTGTCTGCAACCCAGGAGGAGGGATGTGTGCCAGGGAGCAGCTTCTACTATCCATCACTACTATAGGAGTTTTGGGGGGTAGGATGATTGGGATGGATGGAGAGCAGAGATCTCTGCAGCCAGGTGGGGAATTTGGGGTTTATTGCAAAGGGCCAAGGGCAGGGCCCTGCTGGGAGCTGCCAGGCACAGCTCAGAGCAGGACTGAGAGAAGAGAGGGTGAGAGAGTAAAAGGGGTAAGAGAGCGAGGTTCCCGTTCCAATACCATAAATCTTCTTCTGTGTTGAATATTCTAATTCTCACTAACCAATCTAATACAATATATATATCTTATAGCATTTACACACAGCCTATAAGAATCACTACATCACCATCCTGTGTTTCATTTTAAACCCTACAAACTCCTCTTTGGGCCCCTTCTGCCAAGCTGTAGGGTCTGCTCTGACCCTTGGAGCTGTCTGCAAGCAGAGGGTGTTGTTCCATCAAAAGGGGATCACCTTCAGCCAGCCACACCATTGTTTTCCAGTTGTTCAGTAACTGAGGGATCTCAAAGCTTGCTTTCACTTCAATCTTCCTTACAGTTTCTGTATTCTCAAAATCTTTTGCCAGACAATCATATTTATAAGGCTTTCCTGTTTCACCTTCCCCAGCACACTCCCAGCTGGAATTTCCCTTGGCTCACAGGGACAGGCAGACACCACTCACAGCCCTTCCACTGCAGCAGCAGCAGAGGGTCAGGGTCAGGGTCTGACAGCAAAACCTGGAGCTATTCTGAACCAACATTGTTCTGTTCTCTTCCAGTTGCCTTTGCTGGTCTTGCCTTCTCTGCCTTCTACCTGGCAGGGAAGCTGCACAGCTTTGTTCCAGGCCGGGGGGGCCGGGCCCTGCGCTTCTGTGCCTTCCTCCTGCCCCTCTTCCTCGCCACCCTCATCGCCGTGTCCCGCACCTGTGACTACAAGCACCACTGGGAAGGTGGGTGAGCATCTCCTGGTGCCCTGAGCAGGGCACTCCAGGCACGGGGGGCTTTGGTGCCACAAAAGTGTTCAGACCCCTCAGCAGCGACTTGGGTTGTTTGTTTTTTACTCCTCCAGTGGCAATTTTGCTGCCACCTGCAGGGAAATGGTTTTGAAATACCTACCAAGCTTGGGTTTCCAGCCAAGTCAGGTTATGGATCTAGCAGAAAAGCTGCTGCTGAGGAATTGCTCATGAGGCTTGGGTGAGGAGTTGCTCATGAGGCTCAGGAGGGTGAAGGCTGTTAACTGTGCTCTGGTCTCACCCACAGATGTGTTGGCTGGCTCAGCGATGGGCTTGGTGCTCGCATACCTGTGCTACAGGCAGTACTACCCTCCCCTGACAGACACCACGTGCCACAAACCATCTGTGGCCAAGCCCAAAGCGCTGCCAGTGCACGAGGAGAAGCCTCCAGCTCCCAGCTTCCACATGAACATTTAGTGCCAGGCTCTGTCCTACCTCTTCCTGCATGCCAGGGCAGGGTGAGGCTTAGGGGAGGCTGCTCAGGAGAAGTGAGGATGAAGCCCTGGGCAGGTGTTCCCTGCTGAGCTGGTGAGTTCCCTGCCCTGGCCCTCGTGTTGCTTCATTTCATTGGATTTTGTAGGCCACCCCCTCTTCAGGCCCACTGTGAATCGAGGGAGGCACTTGGGGTGCCAACCTGCACAAAGACAGTTGGGTGTGAAGGTCCTGAACACAAACTGGGAAAATGTGACAGCCCAGTGTGCCCAGTCTAGTGGAAGTTCTTGTGTCCAGTCCAGGAAGCACCATTGGCCACCTCCCTGCAGCCCAGCCGAGCTGTCCCAGCTCTTCTCGTGGGAAATGAAGTGCAGGACCTGCCAACTTTGAGCTTTTCTAATGTCCCAAATAAAGGAGTTTAATTTTTGTAATGACCTGTGGTACTAAAACTTTTATTTCAAGGTTTGGGTTGTTGCTTTACAAACCATTTCCTCTGGTGTCCGCAGGGGTTTCTGATGGGTGCTCTTTCCTTGCAGCTTTAGTAGTTTCAAGGAGATGACAGCAGAAAATGAAATGGTGTCTGGGAGCATCCCTCATTTCCCTGCCTGCTCTGTCTCAGACAAGAAAGGGCTGAGTGCTGCTGAGAGCCAGGGCCTGCTCCTCTGGGAGCAGCTCTTTGTCACTGGTCCCTTCCAAGACAGGTTTCAAGTGTGTGTACATGCAAACAGCACAGGTGAGGCTGCAGCAGAGCAAGGCAGGTGAGTCAGAAATGAAACACCTCCTCATCAGCTGCAGTTTGCACCTTCTGTAACTCTGCAGCTTCAGTAGAATCACAGAAATAGCTTCACTTTCTCCTAAAACTGCACATCAGAGTTTTCCAGCCCTTCCCTCCCCCCAGACATGCACACACCAGTCATCTACTTATTTATTTTGGCTTTTACTGGAAAAGACATTAAATAACATTTAAAATGTATTTAACTTCCTTTTTTTTTTTAACAAAGTGCATAACTTAAAAAGCTGATCATTAGTGTCCCATGTTAAGACTGTCCCTTTTCCTACTCCCATGAGACTTTAGCCAGTCAGGTGCTGACCAAGCAGCTGGGCTGTTCCTGCAGTCAGGTAAAGAACAGCTTCTGTTCCTTGGGAGGGGAGGAGGGATGGAGGCTGCAAACAAAACCCTTCCAATAGTGCAAATAACAGACAATGGAGGAAAAACAAACCAACAGGCTGTGGGGAAAAAAAGGCTCCTCACCCCATGCAGGGCAAAAGTCAGCAGGAGGGAAAGTGGTTTGGCTCTCCAAAGGCTGCACAGCAACACCTCACACAGCACTGGAGCCCCAGCCCAGGGCCTTTGGTGCCCAGGGAAGGATCACAGAGGCTCTCCAGCCCTGCTCCCTCAGAAAAGAGCTTCAAGGCAGCTGCACACTGAGCTGCCTACAGAGCTGGTGTCATTCCTGCAGTGGCCAGACCCTGCTGGATCTGGGCTCCACCTTTGCTGGCTGCATTTTGTACATTTAAAGCTAAACCAGGATGAGAGCATGGCAGGCACAGATCTCTGTGCTCACCTGCCAGCCCTGTGGGACAGCAGCACTGCTCTGTGTCCCTGCAGGCCTCAGAGGGCTCACCCTGCCCTGGCACTGCCAGCTGGCTGCAGCTGGAGGGGAAGCTTTCCTCAGAGCAGGGACAGCAGGGCACAGGCTGGGTCAGGGCTGTGGGGAGGGTCTGGATGGGCAGGGTTGGGGTGCTGAGCTGTCCCCAGCAGCACTGGGGAGCCCAGGATGGGCAGGGTTGGGGTGCTGAGCTGTCCCCAGCAGCACTGGCTGGGTCAGGGCTGTGGGGAGCCCTGGGTGTGCAGGATGGGCAGGGTTGGGGTGCTGAGCTGTCCCCAGCAGCACTGGGGAGCCCTGGGTGGGCAGGGTTGGGGTGCTGAGCTGTCCCCAGCAGCACTGGGGAGCCCTGGGTGTGCAGGGTGGGCAGGGTGGGGGTGCTGATCTGTCCCCAGCAGCACCCCACAGCAGGGAGGAGCACGAGCATGCCACTCTCACAGGGTGCTTTAGGGGCAGCCCTGCCTGGCTGCAGTGCAGGGCTGCACAGAGATGCAGCAGCAGTGCAGGGCTGCACAGAGATGCAGCAGCAGTGCAGGGATGATGCTGGCCAGCCCCTGTGCCTCAGCAGCACTCTGTGCCCTGGACTTCACCTCCTGGGCCCTGCTGGGGGGTTTGTGTTAGCAGTCAGCAATCTCCCTTGCTGCAAGGCTGCTGCAGCTCTTCCCATGCTGTGTTTAAGGCTTTTTCTCCTCAAGGTCCCAGGCTGTGAGTGTCCTCACAGAGCCAGGTGAGGGCTCTGAGCCTGGACAGCTCATCTGCTGGTGTGGGGACTCACAGGGGGCAGGCTTAAAGTACACGTTGCCACAGGGAGTCACTGTACAGGTGGTGTGTGTGTGTGTGTTTGAGCAGAAGTGGTTTTCCTTGACAGTTTTTCCCCCTACCCTTAGCCAAAATGGAGGAAAATCCATCCTTAGCTCCAGGCAGCAGCAAGTACTTGGGAAGCAGCATGCAGGACTCGGCAGCAGAGGAGAGAGGAAGGCAGAGAAGAGATCTGGACTTTCCTGGTGAGTGCTCTGTGGGATTGAACCTGAGAAAGCAAAAGGAGAACACAGGAATAGCTGCAGTCAGAATCCAGCCCCCTGAGCCCTCCCTGGTCCTCTCCTCATGACTGATCATGCTCATGTGCAGGGAAGAGGGAAGAAGCCAAAGGTGCTGACAGGCTAAAGAAGAAAGCTGACACACATTCCCTGCCTTAGATAATGGATATTACTCTCCCAAACCAACCAGCTCTCCTCTGAGGTGTCCTGGGAAATCCAGAAGGGGTTTAGGCAGAGGTGACTTACAGCCAGAACAGCACAGGTGGGTCACTGGCTCCCTGGCAAAGGCTGGTCCAGTGTGATGCCTTGTGTCTGGTAGATCTCCTTCAGAACCAGCAGAACAGTGTCCTCTGACTCCCTGCAGGGGAGGAAAGGGCATCAGAAGGGAATGCCTCCCTGCCCTCTGTCAGAGCTGGGGCAGATGCAGTGCTCTGCAATGCAGGCAGCACCAGGAGAAGCCCGAGTGTCCTTCCTCTGTCCGTGCCCACCCTCTGTGTGCCACAGACAGGACAAGATCTTGTTCCCTCGACCACCTGAGGCTTTTCTCACTACACTGCCTCTGAAACTGATGCCATTCTGCATCACCACACGTAAATCTGAAGCCCTGAGCATTGCACAGACACTTACCAGTAGCAGAGATGCCCCTGGAGTGCAAACAAATACTCGTTGAAGCTCTCTATTGGCTTCTCCTGCAGCACGTAGTCGATGCGGTTCCCCCCGTTCAGCCTCCCCACGTTGATGGGAGGGGTCTCCTCCTTCACTGCTGCTGGGGGCTCCTCTGGCTTTGTGTCTGCAGGAAGGAGGAGCAGCCTGGCTCAGCCCCAGGGCACCAGCAGCCATGGCAATACAACAGCAGGGCCGTGCTCTCCCCTTAGCCCTCTGCAGCTCACACGGGGGAGAGGCAGCTGAAGTGCAAGGGACACCCAGAGGAGGGGAGTGGGCTTAAAAGGTGGTGTAGTGTGCTGAGACCCCCCCCAGAAAACCCCTTCATAAGGTGCTAACAGGAAAAGGCCACAGCATTCAGGGAGATCCAGGTGCCTCCAATGTGGCCGTGGCACTCCAGGCACGCTGCTTCATGGGCCAAGGCTGCACCCCTGGCTCCCCCATGCCCCCCACCACTGACCTGGCTGCTTCTCAGTGCCAGCCTCTGCCTCTGCCTCAGCTTCAGAGCTCCCTGCCTCCAGGGCAAGCACAGGGGAGCGGGTGAAGGACTGCCAGGCCACCCTCAGGGAGCCCAGCAGGTTGTTCTTCAGGTCCACGCTCATGCGGGTCAGCCCTTCCTTCAGCTCTGCAAGGCAGGAGGGGGCTGGCTGTGGGGCTGGGGGCTGCAGCACTGACCCCAGGCCGGGGGACAGGGGCTGCCTGTGCCATACCCAGGTGCATCCTCTTCCTGCCCTTGTGGTGGGGCAGCAGCATGGGCTCAAACTCCAGCTCCGGGACGATCATGGGCTCGATCCGATACGCCACGGGGTCAAACTGCACACGAGAGGGGGACAGTGACAGTGGCCAGGGCTCGTCCTCCACGTGTGCCTCACGCAGGACACAGCTCTGGCTCTTATACCTACGGGGTGGAAGATGTTGAAGAAGCCTTTGCAGGTGGGCAGGCTGTAGTTGGGGTCGATGCGCTTCACTCCTCGCACCGTGAGGAACATCCCGATGGGAGAGCCAAAGGCAAAGAAGATGCTGGGCTTGTAGTTCAGCTGGGGGTAGTTTGCTGACACCTGGGACAGGGGGATGTTCAACAAATGATGAACATTTGTGGATGAACAATGATGATGAACAAATGTTCAGATTTGCTCATCAGACAATCCCTGTCTGTGTCACGAGGGTTTTGGGTGCAGCCAGAGCTGTTGTACCTGTCCCAAGCCAACATCCCGGTACTGGCAGCTCCTGCCATCCTCAGAACTGTCCCCAAGCTGGGATGGGGACCCTGGCTCAGCCCCACCTTCATTGTGCCCAGGAGCTGCTGAACTCCGACCCTGCAGCAGCACAAAGGGGTCCTGGTGTCAGAGGGTGCAATGGGATGGGATGTGATGGCATGAGCACAAACCATGTGGAAAACAAACCTTCATCCCTGTCTCGGAGCTGATGTAATGGAGTATTTTCATTCTGGGCCCTAAGGGAATTCCCATTTCTTTCAGGTTTTGCTCTGTGCACAAGAACTGGAAAATAAGCAAGGCTGGTGTTAGTCCAGGAGCAGAGGGATGGTGAGGTGTCTGTTCTATGGGACTGTGAGGAGATGGTTCATGTGTGACTCAGTACCAGGAGATGTGCAGAGCTGGGATGATGGGGAAGAAAAGCAAAGAAGAGCCACAAGAGCCAGTAAAACAGAGAAACTTCTCACCAGGGCTTGCCTGTCCATTTTCTCCTTCTCAAAAACATCACAATACTCAGACAGCTCCAGCTTCTTCAGGATTTCTTTTACTTCCTCAATCCCCCCCGTGCTTGAGGTTGTCCTGGACCCCTGTGAAGAGATCCAGAAGGGATCACACTCTGTGCTCACCCCTTTGCTCTGCCCTATCCCCATGCAGCTGCAGGAGGGAGGGGTCAGTGGCCTCCCCTACCTGCACACAGTGCTCCTTCTCCTCAGGATCAGCCTTCTGGTTCGTCAGGAGATCAAACAAAATGAGTGACCCTAAAAAGCAGGCATGGGCAGAGCATCAGCATCTGGAGGGGAAGAGCCCGAGCCACCTCTTTTTGGGGATGGAAGAGCTGCACTCTGAGCCTTTTTACAGGCACACAGTGACAGGACAAGGGACAATGGCTTTAAACTGGCAGAGGATTAAAAGTCAGGAAGAAATTATTACTCAGTGAAGAAATTATTACTCGGTGAAACACCAGCACAGGCTGCCCAGAGAATCTCTGGCTGCCACACCCCTGGAAGCTGAGACAGGGCTTAGAGCAACCTGGTTTCATGGCTGGTGTCCCTTCTAACAAAATGAGTGACCTTAGAAACCAGGCAGGGGCAGAGCATCAGCACCTGGAGGGGAAGAGCCCGAGCCACCTCTTTCTGGGGATGGAAGAGCTGCACTCTGAGCCTTTTTACAGGCACACAGTGACAGGACAAAGGACAATGGCTTTAAACTGGCAGAGGATTAAATGTCAGGAAGAAATTATTACTCAGTGAAGAAATTATTACTCGGTGAAACACCGGCACAGGCTGCCCAGAGAATCTGTGGCTGCCACACCCCTGGAAGCTGAGACAGAGCTTGGAGCAACCAGGTTTCATGGCTGGTGTCCCTTCTAAGCCAGAGCAGCTGTGGCTGTGCCCTCCCTGCCCCCGGGCACGGCGGGCAGCCCTCACCCAGGCTGTGCCCTGCGATGGACACCCCGCCCCTGAAGTGCGGGTTCCTCTGCAGGAAGAGCCGGTGCAGGCGGTTCATCTCCGAGGCCACCGTGTCCACGATGGTCTGGCAATAGGTGGAGCTGTTGTAGAAGAACACGTCCAGGATGGTGTCGTTGATGAAGTGACGCAGGCGGTTGATGCTGGGCAGCGTGATCCGCTCCAGGTCACTGCGGGGAAAGGAACACGGGGGGCTGAAGCTGGGAAACCACAGAAGCCCACCCTGTTTCTACAGCAAAGCGAGTTCTCAGGAGGATTGACACAGTTTCCAGCGTGGTGTGTTGTAATCCAGACCCTCAGAAGGCAAAGCACAGCCTGTGCTCTTACACTCCAAGAATAAAGAGCCTGCCCTGCTTTCTGCCCTTCAGTGCTGGGGCACTGCAGGAACTGGGTACTCAGCTCTCAGAGGCTTCAGCAAGGTTCAAATATTCAATTTGAGATCACTGTAAGTTTCATCTTTGTTTTAGGTAAGTAGTCAAATGAAATAGGAAGGCTAAAAACAGAGGTCGATCTCCAAGTACATTAAGAATTCTGTAGGTTATACAAATCTCATACTGAAGCCTACAAGAGAATTTTCTCATCTAACACCTTAATACTCAATATTTATTTAGTATGTGATAGCTCCTGTCTGGAGGTGAATAAAAGAAAAAATATCCTTATTTCAAGGAAATAACACAAATAAACTATTTGCACGATGAATAGAAACAAAACCAAAAATAAAACAACAAAAGAGAAAGAAAGTCATTAAGGAACCAGAGAGTCCTGTTGGTTGCCATATTTGATTACATCTCCTGTCCCTCCTGAGAGCAGCCAGGGAAGGCAGAAGCCCCTGTTCTGAGGATGCTGATGGGAGCAGGCACCTGCTGTGTGCTGCAGAATGGCAGTGGGGAGGTGCTCTGGGGGTCCCTGTCTGCCCTGCTCCCTCCTACCCTAAAAACTCACAGCTTTTCCAACAGAACAAGTGGATTTTCCAGGGCAGGAGGCTGCCTGTGCCCCTTGCCAGCCCCCAGCCCTGGGGCAGGGGCTGTTGGACACTTACACATCCACACCAGTGGAGTGCAGGGAGCTGTGCCAGTTCACAGGCAGGAACTCCACCCTCCCGACCTGCTGCTGCTCCTGGGCCTTCCTGAAGTGTGACTGCAGCATGCTGAGGGACACGTTCCTGAAATCGTTCACTGTGAAACACAAGAGCTCTTAGAGAGATGCACCAGGCTCTGGGGCCAGCCCGTGGCACCAACCACACTTAATACCATGAAAGATCATTACAGAGAAATCCCACCAGGGTCTTTAATCTGCTGCTGCTCCCCTAAGTCCCTGAATCTTTAACTACAGATCAGGGGAGGCTCCATGTCCTGCCACGTGTGCTTGCTGGACTTTGCTGCCCCATCTGCACCTCCCTGACAGGGGCAGGATAAGAAACGTTTAGAAATTTATAAAAAATAACTCTGTTGTGAAGCAAAACTGAGGAGCAGCAGCTGCCTAAACCCTTTCAGAAGGTGGATTTGGTGGTCAGTGAGCGTTGTGCCCACAGTCAGCAGGCCTGGCCATGCTGCCTGCCAGGGTCAGGGGGGTTTGAGGCAGCGTGTGCCAACCACAAAGTGAGGTTCCCTTCCCAGGTCCCTCTCCCAGGTTTCCCCCTCAGGTTTCCCCCCCAGGTTTCCCCCCCAAGTTCCCTCCCAGGTTCCCCTTCCAGGTTCCCCTTCCAGGTTCCCCTGCCAGGTTCCTCTCCCAGGTTTCCCTTCCAGATTCCCCTCCCAAGTTGCCTCCCCAGGTTCCCATCCCAGTTTCCCCTGCCAGGTTCCCATCCCAGGTTCTCCTGACCGATTCCTCCCCCAGGTTTCCCTCCCAGGTTCCCCCCAGTCTCCCCTCCCATCTCAGCACTACCGCACTGCACGATGCTGCGGAATCGGATGTCGCAGGCGGGGCCGATGCCGTGCACCACGAACACCAGGTGGTCGATCTGCAGAGGCTCTCCTGAGGAGGGGAGGGAGTTCAGGGCATGGCTGCTGAGCAGGCAGCACCCAGCAGAGAGGCTGGAGGCAGCCCTGGGCAGGGCTGGAGCCTCCCACCCTCACCTCGGCCCATGAAAACCCTCCTTAGTGCCTGCATTTACACCTCCAGGCTGCTGGGGTATCTCACATTGTCCTGCTCAGGTCAGCTGCCCTGGCATGGATTTGGACCAACAGGACAGTAGAGGAAGGGGTGGTGGCTTGTCCCCACTGCCCTTCACCCCTGCCCAGCACAGGGAACTGCAGGATCAGGGGGTCTCAGTGCTGAACTGCAGGATCAGGAGAGCTCAGTGCTGAACTGCAGGATCAGGGGGTCTCAGTGCAGCTGCCCCATGCCCACCCCACTCTGAGGAACCCCACAGAGCTGCATCTCCCAGGTATGGCCCAGGTGGAGTCAGGGCTTGTTCTCTGCTTCCCACACACCTCAGTTTGCATACTGAGTGCCTTCCTGAGGGCAGGCAGCCATGGAAAATGGAGCAACTGCCTGATGTCCTCATGGGGCCAAGTGCTGAGGCCCCACTGGCAGCTCAAGGCAGCTGGGAGGGACAGAGCTGGCACCTGGGGGACAGCACGTGCCCCAGAGAGTCACCAGCACGAAGGTAAGTGATAAAGCACTGTGTCCCTAGCAGGGAAAGAAACTCCCCTCCTGTACAAATCAAGACCTCGGGGGTCATTTCAGGCCCTGCAGAGCTCCCAGCAGCTCTGTCTCTGCAGCCTCCCCTGGATCTGCAGCTCTGCAGGGGCTGGGGAGGTTTCTGAAACCATTTGGATCCTTTTGGCACAAAATGTTTTGACGTGCACTTGACTTAAAGGATCATGGGAGCTTCCTCCAGTCTTTGTGAGCGATCAGGGGGGAAAACACCACCCGGGGTTGTCACAGACATCTTTTATGAAAAATCCTTTCTTTAAGATTTTTTTCTTCTTGAGAAACTGAGAGACCTCAGGAACAAAATGTAACCAATGGTTATCTGCTGCTGTGGAATGCAACAGGAGGATCTGGGATTGGTCTCATGTGGTTGTTTCTAATTAATGGCCAATCACAGTCCAGCTGGCTTGGACTCTTTGTCTGAGACAGAAGCTTTTGTAATCATTCATTCCTTTTCTATTCTTTGCCAGCCTTCTGATGAAATCCTTTCTTCTATTCTTTTAGTATCGTTTATATATAATATATATCATAAAATATAATATATAAATATAATATATAATATATAAATATATCTTTACATGTATTTATAAATATATAATAATATCAATAAAATACATAATATATATAATAAAATTATATATATAATATATAATATATAATATATAATATATAATATATAATATATAATATATATAATAAAATAATAAATCAAGCCTTCTGAAACATGGAGTCAGATCCTCTCTCTTCCCTCATCCTCAGACCCCTGTGAACACTGTCCCACGGGGTTTGGGATGGGAGCAGGGGCTCACCATTGGGGATCTCCACAGCGATGTTCTCCACTCCTCTCTTCACAGTGCGGGGCCGGCCTTGCTCCGTGGGGGTGGAGACCCAGTCATCAGAGCTGGCAACAGGATGGTAGTGAACCATCAGCTTGGGAACAAGAAGAGCCTGTCAGTGACCCAGAGCAGGACAGCGACAGCAGCTGTGGCTGACACGGCGTGGCACCAGAGCGTGCTTTGCCCACAGAGGTGTTGGAAAGGAATGTGAGGCTGTTGGCAGGCTCAGCTGCCACTGCCCTCTCCTGTGGCACAGGCGGGTGAGTGGAATGCCTTTGGGACAACCCATTTGAAGGGAACAGCACCAAGAGACCCAAGGGGATGTCCTCACCAGGCCCTGCTCACCTTTGGGTTGTGCAAGATAATGACTTCTCTGTTGGGGGACTCCAGCTTCTTCTTCCACTCACCCAGGGTCACGGCAATCATGTAAGCTTCCTACAGAAGGGAACACCCACTGTGAGTCAGCTGGAAGTATGCCCATCAGTGTTCAACCTCTTGGGACACTCCCCACCCAATTTCCAGAATCTCTTATCAATACCCTGCAAAAGAAGCAGAGGAATCAGCTGCAGGAGCAGCAGGGTCATGCCAGGATCAGCTGCTGAGAATGTTTAAGAGCTCCTCACTTTGACAGCAGCAGCATCAGACTTCCCCATCCCTTTAGAACTGGTTTGGTACATCAGAATGGAGATTATTGCCAAGATGGGTATTTTTATACGTCTGCCTATATATCTCTGCATTTGCATGATGCCAAAGGAAAGCCTGGCACTTTCAGGTGTGGTGGAATTTGCACCATCCCAAAGGAAAGCCTGGCACTTTCAGGTGTGCTGGAAGGATGCACTGAGGGCAGGGGAAGGGGAGGCCACGGCAGAGCTCACAGTTACATCAATCAGCTGCACAAGTGCCTGCCAAAGCCTCTTTGGAGTTCATGTCCTCAGGCCTGCCAGCAGCCTCGTACGGGGTTTGGGACATCAGAGGCACTGTGTGACCAGGAGAAGTTGTGATGGAAACCAGCAGGAAGGGGTGTGCTTACCTCCAGTTCCTCACTGAAGGACTCTGAGTAGGGAATGAACTTGTTGTCCTTGTCCCCCTTGTAGAACCAGGTGCAGCGCCGCACCTCGGCCGCCTCCTCCTCCCAGTACACGGCCACGCGCCGCCGCGCCCGCAGGTGCACGTCGTACCTGCCCCCCGAGGTGGGCACCACCACGCCAGCCTGCTCCTTCCCTGGGGAACAGGGCCTGCAGTCAACCCTCCCAGGCCTCAAATAGCAAGCTCACAGAGGCTGGAGCATCTCCTTGGGCAGCACAGCCACCACGGCAGCAGCACCACCTCCGGACCCAAACTTACTGTTGGGGTGAGATGCCCCAGAGGGAAAATCTGATGGGATTTTATGGAGAAGATGTTTTCTCCCCTCTTTTAATGAGGTTATAAATACACCTGGTTGGAAATATGAGCATGCCCTGGTGGCACCAGGGGGATGGCACAGGGGGTGCAGCACTCCAGGAGGGTTTTCCTGCTCCAAGGACGCCGAACAGAGCCAATTCCCATCATTTCTGAGGGTGGATTAGCACCGGAATCCCAGGGAGCAGGCAGGGTTTTAGCACCAACAGAACAAACAACATCCAGGACAGTGCTCGACTTCCATCTCACCAGAAGGTAAGATGAAAACATTCCACTGCACTGTCCTTCTCTGCAGTTTGGGCACACGCTTACGTGGCCTCTCCCTGCCTGGCCTGGAGGGTAAAAGTGAAACTGAGGCCCTGGGAAGGGCATTGTGTAACGGTGAGGGTGCACCAGGGTCGCCTGTCTCTAAGGCGTTCCTCTCCAAAACAGAGACCTCTCTACAGACCTCAAACTGTGAATTTCGCTGCCTTTTGGGTCTGCCTGTGGACCCTGTGCCAGGCAGCAGCACCGGGGATGAGCAGCACAGCCTCTAATCCGAAACTTCCTGGGCGAGGGAGGACGGGAGCCAATCCTTGGGCAATCGGAGCTCTGCCTGTGGCAGCAGCAGGTGGCACAGATGGTGACATTTGGCACACAAGGGTCTCAGCACGGGGCTTGGAGCTGACCTCCAGTCCTTGCTGCCATAGCAGGCACAACTCCGTGCTGCGGGGACTCTCCCAGAGGAATTCCTGCCATCCTGGCAGCGTTCTCCCGGCCTCACCAGAGGATGCTTTGCAGCATGATTATATATAATTCAGAGCAGTATCAGTTGAATGGGGTCAGACCATTTGATGCATCCTCTCGGTTATTGGGAGCGGGCACATGGCCAAAAAAGCCCCAGTTTAAAATCCCTCGAGGGAAGAAAATCTAGCATCCCAGGTGGAAGCCCACGGATGTGTCCAGGGAAGAATCCCAAGCACACACCAGCCTCAGCAGGCCCATTCCTCAGGATGCTCCAAGAGCGGGGATGCCGAACCGGAGGGCGGTGGGAGCCGTGCCCGGTGGTACCGCGGGACCCCCGCCCGGCGTCGCGGCCGCTGCCGCCCTACCTGCGCCGTGCGCCGCCTCCAGCCGCTCCGAGTCCTGCGCGCTGAACGGCACCCAGCGCTCCCGCGTGTCCGTGACCTTGCAGTAGAACCAGTGCGGCACCACGGCCTCGTAGCGCCCGCCAGGCTCCGGCTCCGGGGGCTCGGCGGTGCCCGGGGGCGGCCGCGGCGGCTCCTGCGCCGCCATGGGGCTGCTGCGGCCGAGCCGGGAGCGCCGCTCGCTCCCGCCGCCGCCACCACCAGCGGGGGCTCCGCGGGAACCCGGCCCGAGCGGCCCCGAGCGGCCCCGAGCGGCCCCGGTGCCCCGGCGGCTGCTGCGGCCCCAGCGGCCCGGCCCGGCCCGGGCGGCAGCGCAGGCTCCGCTCCGGCCGCGGTGACCGCCCAGCCCGGGGCGGTGCTGCCCGCGGCCCGCCCCCGCCGTCACGGCCGGGGAGGAGCGGGGATTGCCCGCAATCTCTGCCCGCAGTCCCTGCCCGCAGTCCCTGCTGGAGCTGCTGCCTGCGCCCCTGCCTCTGATCCCTGCCCGCGACCTTTGCCTGTCATCCCTGCCTGTGACCACTGCCCCTGGTCCCTCCCTGTGAACCCTGCCCGTGTTCCCTTCCCTTGGTCCCTGTCCCCTGCCCCTCCCTGTGACCCCTGTCCCTGCTCCCTGTCCCTATTCTCTTCCCTTGGTCCCTACCCTTGGTCCTTGTCCCTGTGCCCTGCCCCTGGTCCCTCCCTGTGAACCCTGCCCCTGTTCCCTTTCCTCGGTCCCTGCCCCTGGTCCCTCCCTGTGCCCCCTGCCCGGGTGATGGTGGCCCCGACCTGGATGAGGGGCACTGGGGTGCAGGGAAACACCCAGCCCTGTGCCAGCTGCAGCACGAACAAACGCTCCAGCGTGGGGTGATTGCAGCAGGAACCACACGGTGCTGATTTCATGTTTGTTTTTCAGTCCCTCTGTGACACTTCAGCCTCCGTGGTGATTGAGAAACTCCAGCACTGCTGGAGAAGGAGCGGGCAACCCCAGAGTAAGAGTTTGGTTTCTGTAGAGATGAGCCCAGCGATAAACAGAGACAGACTTTCTAATTTGGGGGTTGTGATGTGGGTGGATGCTGCAAGCGGATGCTGCAAGATAAACCAGTTGCCAGGAACTGCTATCCCAGTGCTCACTGTCACACAGCAGGGACTGGTGAGGAAAACAGGAGGGTCAGGAGTGCCCAGCTCCCCGGCTGTGCAGCTGGAGACCCTGCAGGGCCTGCAGCAGTGGGTGCTGACACAGCTCCTGCCCGTGTCACACCATCCCCACTCGGATCACCCGGAGCTGTGACGCTCTCTGGTCCTGCGTGGAGCAGGCAGAGGCAGCAGGTAGGGATGGGTTATTGTGGAGAGTTTATGGATAATTGGCTAGCTGAGAAAGGCCACTTTGATGTGATACCGTTGGATAAGGTTAGGGGAAACAAGCTGGGGATTAAGTAGTCAGTGTCCAATCAAGGGTCATGGTGACCTTTGCTGCAACATGAAGATGGGGGAGAAAATCTTTTGCCAGAAAAATGAAGATAGCCTAGGTAGAATAGCCACAGGAATGTAAACATAGAAACAAAATAATCATTGGAGCATAGAAGTAGGTGTGGTTGATTCACGTGTGTTTTAACCAATAATGAGCTCAGCTTTGCAATATGGATAAGCTTCATTAACACCAATATAAATATGTGTGAGCTATCAATAAACTTTGAGATTTGCTGCTCACGCATTTTGCGTGCTGCAATTCCTCCGCCGTTCCCTACAGGTTATTACAGCAGAGCTTCCTGCAGGATGAGGTGTGGGACGTGTGCCTGACCCCTGATCCCAGCTCAGCTTTGGGGGAAACACACAAAACCCAGCCAGGGATGTGGAGTGTCCCAGGCAGCCACGGTGTCCCACGGAGCTGTGGGATCCCCACAGCCTGTGATGGTATCTGCCATTTCAGCCCACTTCACGTTCTCTCGTGGGCTTTGCTCCAGGGATTTACATAACCCTCTGCCAAGGAGGCAGGGACAAGAAATATTGTTCAGGAATATCCTACCTGGACGGGTTCAGCTGATATGGGAAGGGGTGGCACTCACAGGGGCTTCCCCAGCTCAGTGACAGGGCAGCACTCTCTGAGTACTGTGAATTATTGATCTCCCAGCACAGCCAGCAGAACCCAGGAGGCACCTGCTGGAAGCAGGGAAGAGCTCAGAAGTGCTCCCTGCCTGACACAGAATGAAGCAGCAGCAGAGCCTCTCTCCCTGTCCCAGGACATGCAGCTCACCCTGGATGTGTCTGGCTGTGCAAACTGACCACGTGTGGTCATGGACACATCTCAACAAGCTCCAAAGGTCATCCTGTGGCCACAGCCCTGTCTGGGAATGTGGGATCTGCCTCCAGGATCTCAGTGTTGGCAGCACACAGGGCATGGCCAGGGCAGTCCCAGCCTCAGGCATCCTAAATCCCCTCCAGACTGGCCCTAGAGCCACAGCTGGAGGCTCCTGGAGCATCTGCACTGCCAGGGAGGCAATGGGGCACCCTGGCACCCCAAAACAGCCTTCTCCAATGTTCTGTTCATTGGTAGAGCTGGGCTGGAGCTTTGGTCTGAGTTACAAAACCTTCCTCACCTCTTCTCTTTAAAGAAAAAGAGACTTTGAGACAGCTCAATTACAAAATAACATTTAAAACTTGTCAGGGTTTATTAGGTGCCACACATAGCAGTGAGTTGCTGTGCAGGTGGTAACCAGGAGGCTGGAACAGGCCGAGCTGTTCCCTCCCCGTGGTGCTGCACAGTGGGACACAGAACTCACAGGATGGACAGGGACATAAAACAGGGGATTCTGACCCAAGTGACATGGAAATCACTTCCAAGCATCCTGCCCCTGCTCTTGCCTTGACTTGCACTTCTTTCAGCGGCAGAACGGGGATTTCCAGTCTGTTCCTATGCCCACAGGGACACCCCACACTGGCTCTGCACCACGCAGCAGGAACAGCACCATGTGACATGTGCCAGCACAGTCCCTCCCTCCAGCTCTTCAGTGGTGCTCCTTGAGGGCACTAAACCCAAACAACCCCTCTGAGGACACATGGGGTTCATGGCAAGGGAGCTGAAGCTGAAATTACAGGCAGTGAGGACAAGCCCAGAGTCTTGGTTGGTGGCTGCACGTTGCAGCACATCTGAGGAGTGTCTGAAGCCTGGCTGTGGCTGTAGGAGGCACCCAGAGATTGGGCACAACCCCACAGGGCTCCATCCTTGGCCCACTTCTCTTCAACATCTTCTTTCAATGCTTTTGCTGCTTCAAACCTCTCTCCATTTGTCCTTTGCTGAGTTGTTTGTCGGGGCCGGGCTTCTGGGCTGGCTTTTTGGTGGGTTTAATTTGATTTGTTAACTCAGGGCTTATTGCTATTCCATTGTCAATAGTGCGTAGCAGAAAGAGCTGAGATTTAAAAGAACTCTTTGGAACCTCAACAACAGGCTGTGTGTTGTGGCTCATGTGCTTTCACAATCCCTTTCTTTCCAGTTTTTCCAGTATGGCCTGAATTCTGTGGACGGACTCTTTCCTGGCCTGCCGGACACTGTCCTGGCCCCCAGTCTCAATGGAATCCAGCTCCAGCAGCAGCTTGGTCAACATCTCCTCCAGCAGCCTGTAGGATTTATCTGTCTTTTTCCCTACAAACTCATCCACCTCTTCCTCCAGCTGTTCAGCCTCCCCCATGACGTGGAGGATCCTCTGAATCTCTGGCTGCAGGGCTGCAGGATGTGTGGCAGGCTGCTCAGCAGGTCTGAAGCCCAGCTCCTGGCTCCTGGCCATGGGTTTCCGTGAGGTGTGGTCATAGAGCTGGGGCTGGGCACTGTACTGCACCCTGGGCTGGGATGGGGCAGGCTTGGCCACCCTGTGCTCGTTCACTGAGTGCCGCTGGTTGCCATCAGAATAGTAACTGTGCTGGCCGGGGCTTTGCTCAGCTCTGTCGTAGACAGAGTCCTGCAGTCAGAGGGAGAAAACATCTCTAAGTGCATTTCCTTTTAACCTGCAGCTTCCTGCTCTCATCCTGCACCCAACGGGGCTGGGGATGCTTGGGACAGGGAGCTGTGCTCTGCTCCCATGGTAGAAAACAACACCCCAGCAAGGGGCACCTGTGCAGAGGGGGAATCTGAACCCCTGAACCCCCCATCAGGGTGTTGGAGACATCTTTTATGGAAAATCCTTTCTTTAGGATTTTTCCTCCTGAGAAGCTGAGAGGCCTCAGGAACAAAATTATTATCTGCTGCTATGGAATGCAACAGGTAGATCTTTGATTAGCCCATGTTAGTTGTTTCTAATTAATGGCCAATCACAGCCCAGCTGGCTCAGACAGAGAGTCCGAGCCACAAACTTTTGTTATCATTCTTTCTTATTCTATTCTTAGCTACCCTTCTGATGAAATCCTTTCTTCTATTCTTTTAGTATAGTTTTAATGTAATATATATCATAAAATAATAAATCAAGCCTTCTGAAACATGGAGTCAGATCCTCGTCTCTTCCCTCAACCTGAGACCCCTGTGAACACCGTCACATCAGGGCTGCTACTGGGCACCAAAAAAGTGGAGTCACTTTAAAGCCTGCCAGACCCATTTCAAGACCTACCCAGGACATCTTGTCCTTCACAAGAATCACAGCCACGGGTTTAAGTCCTCTGTGTGCAAACACGAGCTCACCTGTGCCTGTGAGTCCCAGGAGGGAGGGTGGGAAGGGGCCCCGCTGCCGCTCCAGGCTGGCTGTGAATCCGAGATGTAGAGGCTGCCGTGCCCTGAGGCGGGCCAGGCGTAGCGAGGCTGCACCCCAAAGCCAGAGTGGGGGCCCCAGGTGTCCTCCAGGGCTCGGGGCTGTGGCACTGGGCCCTGCCCTGTCAGCCCTGCGCTGCTGTCTCCGTAGGGATACTGCGGCATTGGCATTCCTGGGGTCTGCGGGGATGGGAACAGGAGTTACAGGGGGGCACTGCACCCTCACACAGCCCTGGGACAGGCATTACAGGGGTGTCACTGCACCCTCACACAGCCCTGGGACAGGCATTACAGGGGTGTCACTGTACCCTCACACAGCCCTGGGACAGGCATTACAGAGGGGTCACTGCATCCTCAGACAGCCCTGGGAGCTGGCACAGGCGTTACAGGGGAATCACTGCCAGCCCTGCACCCTGGGACAGGCATTACAGGGGGGTCATTCCCAGCCCTGGGAGCTGGATGGAACAGCAGCAGCTCAGGTTGGCCACCCAATTCCCACTTTCCCGACCCAAAAGCTCAGAATCTCCAGAGAACCGGGTGCCCACCACTTTTGCTCAGAGTAAAACCAGGCAGCACCAGGCACTCAGAGCCACCCCCAGCCCCACCAGAGCCGCCTCCCCTGGCACAACCCCACCACCCATGCCAGGACCCACAGGCTCTGCCCCTTACCTGTGGCGGGGAGTAGCCGGGCACCGGGTGCCTGCGGAGGGCCGAGCCCTCGGGGGGACACTCGGGGGGGACGTAGCTCCAGGCGGGAGCGGGCGACGGGGGCCGGTAGAGGCCCGTGGGCTCCGGGGGGTAGGGGCTGCGCGGGGGCCCCGAGCAGTAGAAGCCCCGTGCCTGGGGCAGGCTGGCGTAGTGTGGGTACGGGGGGCTGTAGGCTCCGTTGGCATAGGGAGAATCCATCGCCTGGGGACAAGGGAAGAGCACAGGGGAGGTGATGGGACACGGGCACAGGTGCTCCAGGAACGAGTCTGGCCCTTCTGTAGGGGGTTCCTTTGCCCTGCAGCTGATTTGCCCCAGTTTTAGGCTTTCCTGGTCTAAGCTGGCTGTACCAGGTCTTGCTCAGCCAAGCTGGGCTCAGGGGGAGGTGTGCAGCCCCTCACAGCGAGCAGCTCCTGCAGGATTCAATGCCAGCTCTGCATCACCGACGGGAGGATGGAAAACTCCCCAGGAAAGTTCATTCTCAAACAGACAAGCTCTGCCAGCCAGTGCTCATGAAAAGCTCATTCTCAAACAGACAAGCTCTGCCAGCTCTCCTGGAGCTGCAGCTCATGTGGGTTTCTGTCTGCACACCCAGGCCACATCTGAGAATTTACCTGGATCCATCCCATAACTGATGTGTAGGGAATGTGAGTTTCCACCTGACAGCAGAGGGGATGCTGAAGGACAGGATTTCCCTGCACCTTCGGGCAAAGCAGCATTCTTCTACCCTGAGCTGCTTCCCAGCTGTACAGGAGGCTGTATAACCTGTATGCCGGGATTTATGGAAGGGCTGGACCATCCTGACAGCCCAGAGGAGAAACCAAACCAAACCACAAAGCACGGCTGGAGAGCAGAGCCTGCTCCGGCACAGCAAAGCCCTTCTTGTCACACCGGATTTGCACGGCAGCCCGAAACCCAGCTGCCATCAACGCCGCGGGTACCGGACCCGGCAATGCCCAGCCGTGGTACCGGACCCAGCAATGCCCAGCGCCGTTACCGTGGCCCTCCCGCTCCGCAAAGCGCTCCGGGGTCCCCGCGTTCTCCGCACCATCACAGCGCCCCAGAAACGTCCCCGTGCAGCGTCTCCCTCCTTCCCCGCGCTCCTTTCCGCCCCGTTACACGCCCGGAGGGCTCCGCGAGCAGAGCCACGAGAACCGGCGGGGCGTGGGAGGCTCCGGGCAGGGCCGCCCGGGGACCGCCCTGCGCGCCCGTTACCGGGGCACGGCCGGGCTGAGCGCTGCCCGCCTGCCCCGGGGGCCGTTTCTGTCCCGGGGACCGTGCCCTCCCCGGGAGCCCTGTCTGATCCTGGGGGCCGTGCCGATCCCGGGGCCGTTTCCGTCCCGGGGGCTCTGTCCCTCCCAGGGGTTTCTGTCCGTCCCGGGCCCGTGTCCGATCCCAGGGGCCGTGCCCTCCCCGGGGGCTCTGTCTGTCCCGGGGGCCGTTTCCGTCCCAGGGTCCGTGCCCTGCCCCCGTTACCTGCGCGGCCGCCGCGGGCGGGCCCGGCCCGGCCGTGCGGGACTCCATGGCCGCCGCCAAGGCCACGCCCCCAATGCGCCCCGTGCCCAATCGGCGGCCGCTCCCCTCTCCCTCCGGCCAATCGGCGGCGGCCCCGCGCGCACGGCTGGCGCGGCTTAAAAGGGCAGCGGCGGGTGGGCCCCGCCCGGCGCGGGCGGTTCCGGGGCGGCGGCGGCGGCACCGGCGCATGGCGGCGCTTCCGCTGCGGGCGCGGCGGCACCATGAACTACATGCCCGGCACGGCCAGCCTGATCCAGGACATCGACAGTGAGTGTCCCGGGGCCGCCCCGCCGTGGGCTCCCGCTCCCCCGGGTCCTGCCCCGCGGTTCCGCTCTTCCCGTAGCGAGCCGCCCCCCGTGGAGCCCGGCGGGTCCCGGAGCCGCGGGGGCCGTGCCCGACGCTCCGCTCTCCTTTCCCGCAGAGAAGCACCTGGTGCTGCTGCGGGACGGCCGGACACTCATCGGGTACCTGCGCAGCATCGACCAGTTCGGTACGGCCGGGCCGGGGCAGCGCCGTGGATGGCGCGGAGGAGGAGGATGAGGAGGAGGAGGGAGCCGTAGTCTTCTCCAGTGTGGTTGTGCTGGGGGTTGAACCTCTGGACCGGGCGCTTCGCGGGGGTTTCTCCCGCACTGGACGCTCCCCGTGCCGCGGGTGCTTCTAGCGCTGTAGCTCTGCTTGTTGGGCAGAAGCACCGGGCGATGTTCTTCATCCTCCCCCCGGGGCCGGGCGATGTTCTTCATCCTCCCCCCGGGGCCGGGTGCTGTTCATCCTTGCCCAGAGCTTGCAGCACCAGCATCGCCATCACATTCTGTGCTGGGGAGGCTCGGGTGGGCTCAGCTCGGAGCTCGCTGGGTCTCGGTGGCTTCAGTGCCCCAGCTCTGGCAGACACCGAGTGCCAGGGGACAGCCGGCCCTGCTCCGGTGGGACGGGGGACGCTGCTCAGCCACGGTTCACGGTGGAACGTCGCTGGTTTTGTGTTTGTCTCGTTGCTGCAGCAAACTTGGTGTTGCACCAGACCGTGGAGCGCATCCACGTGGGCAAGAAGTATGGGGACATCCCTCGGGGCATCTTCGTGGTGAGGGGCGAGAATGTGGTGCTGCTGGGGGAGATTGTAAGTGCTCAAATCCCACTGCTGGGGGGGTTTGTGGTCGGTCTGTCTGTCTGTCTGCTGTGAAATGCGGTTGCTGTCGTGTTGGGCTGGAATTGGAGCCGCCTCCAGGGCCAGCTCGGGCTGAGGCATCCCAGAAAGGCCGGCCTGCAAGGCAGGGCTGCCTCCTGCTGCCACGGCCCCTCTGGGATGACACAAGGACAAAGAGCTGTGGGGAAGCTCCAGCTCGGGTGGCACTGCTGGAGGGTGGCACTGCTGGCTGCCTGGTACCTCCCTGCTGGCTCTGCCCCAGCAGGCACCGTCTGGGATGGGCTCAGCAGGAGCCCAGCACTGTTTGCTCAGGGGATCCCTGCCCACATCCCCACCCCTCAGAGCACTTCCAGCACCTCTGTTTTCTGTCAGCCCCGCTGTTTGCTGGGACTCGCTGCATGGGCACAGCTGATTGTTTGCATGTGCTGAGGCCTCCTTTCTCCTGCAGGACCTGGAGAAGGAGAGTGACACACCTCTGCAGCAGGTGTCCATCGAGGAGATCCTGGAGGAGCAGCGGGTGGAGCAGCAGGCCAAGCAGGAGTCAGAGAAGCTGAAGGTGCAGGCTCTGAAGGAGCGAGGCCTCTCAGTGCCACGTGCTGACACATTGGATGAGTATTGAGGGGCTCCCCCCTCTCCTGCAGGGAGCCAGGGCTGCTCCAGGACCCCCCTGGGCAGGCACACACTGCCTGGAAAGGCAGGTTTCATTTTCAGATTGTCTTTTCCATGGTGCTGGTAACTGTACACAAATCATGCCTTTAGTCTCCTTCTGGAGAAGGAGATGAGGAGGGCCCAGCGCACTGGGAGTGCAAGCATTTGTGTTTGGGAGGCAAATCACTGCTCCTTGGCTTTGTTTGCTTTTTCCTCCTCACATGACTCTGGGTGAGAGTTTCCTTGACATGTAAATAAATCCTTGATCCTGACGTCGATGGTTTTCCAGTGTTCTGGCCCTGGCAGTTCCCCTCTCTCAGGACGAGCACCCCTCAGCCAGCTCTTGTCCCCTCCATGTGCTGTGCAGGGACAGATGGGACCCCTGCTCCAGCCATGGGCTGGGCTCACTCTGACAGAACGCTGGAGCCTGTGGCAAAATCCTGCTCTGGGAGGGGAGCAGAACCTGGGTACCCCTGTACCCCAACACAGAGCACCTGTACCCCCCAGCCAGGCTGTGCCCCTCCTGTGCAGCTGAACCCACTAATTACCAGCTGAACCCACTAATTACCAGCTGAACCCACTAATTACCAGCTGAACCCACTAATTACCTGCTGGTAAAGAGCTGCTGCACCTGGGCAGAGCCTGGAGCTCCAGCCCCTCCTCGCTCCGTGCTGGGGGAGCTGCTGCAGCTGTGTCAGCCTGGAGAATCCTTTGCCCCGAGGTGTCCTGGCCCTTCCTCCCGTGGGGAGGAGAGTCCTTGGCCTCAGGGCTGGCTCTGGGCAGCTGCCAGGCCCCAGGAGCCTCCTGGTGTGGGCAGGGAAGGGCAAACCTCGGCAGGGAGAATCCCTGGACAACCTGGGGCTGCTCCCCTGGGCAGTGGGAGCTCTTTTCCATGCTGGGGGGGACAGAGGAAAAGCCCAGCTCTGCTTGCTGGGGCTGAGCACTGGCAGCTGTTGTGGCCAGTGCTGGCCCACTCTCACTGGCCCAGGGACCACTCACTTTGGGGGAGAAACATTTCTGCCCTGTTGGGCATGAGTGGGTGTTGTGGGTAGCGAAGGTTTAAACAAGGAAATGCTATTTCTTGTTCCAACAAAACTGAATAAAAAGCATTTATGGAGCTGATGCCTGTGGCTGGAAAGTCTCTGGCAGGCAGGGATGGCTCTTTGGGGGTGTTTGTGCTGTCACTGTTTGTTTGGGGGATGTTTTGGGGTGAGGGGGATCAGGGCAGAGATGCCCGTGGTGGCTGGGGGGAGGCAAGGGCTGCCCAGCCCCGGTGCTGGGGTCCCAGCCCTGCAGCCCAGGGCTTGGGGGGTGTAAGGAGCTGGTGGGGGTCAAGACATGGACCCATCCTTGCTGCTCTTGAGCCCATTATCTTATCAGGGTGTTGGGTGTGACCTCTGTGGCACTCTGTGGTTTGTCTGTGCTCTCCAAATAGCACCAGGGCAGCCTTGGGATGGGGGGACACCCCCTGGCTGTGCTGCTGCAGAGGGACAGGGTCACCCTGACAGAGCCTGGGAATGGGCTGGGAGAGGGGAATGTTCTAGAAGGAGGCTCAGCTGGGCAGGGTGGGGGGCTTGGGGCAGCCTCAGGGTTCTTGGGTCCCTGAGCCTTCAGGCCCCAGTGAAGCTCCAGTGCCTTTGGTTGGCATCGTTTTGGTTTTTGTACGTTTTGTACATTTGTGAAGCTTTGTACTCCAAGCCCTGTGTGTGGTGACTTTGTGCAGGAGCCTGGGGGTGCCTCAGGGGGCTGAGCTGTCCCAGTTAACCAGATCCCCCTGAGGGTTCTTGCTGCCTTTTTGGGGTCTGTGTCCTGCTCTGGGGACTGCTCACCTGCAGCATGTCCTCCCATGCTGTGGCACAGCGTGGCTGTGCCTGTGTCCCCTCCTGAGGGCACAGCTGGGGTGGTGCCCTCCAGCCTGGAGCCAGAGGGGCGGCTCTGCGTGGTTTGTTTTGGTTCTTGTCACAAACAACTGCGTGTCCTTGTGCCGAGGCCTCGTGCTGGGAGCAGCGGCTCCATCTGGGATAACAGCCCTGGATTGCTCCTGCCAGGGCTCCCTGGATCTGGGATAACAGCCCTGGATTGCTCCAACCAGGGGCTCCCTGGATCTGGGATAAGAACCCTGGATCTGGAATAACATCCCTGGATTGCTCACAGGGGCTCCCTGGATCTGGGATAAGAACCCTGGATCTCTCACAGCCAGGGCTCCCTGGATGTGGGATAAAAACCTTGGATCTCTCACAGCCAGGGCTCCCTGGATCTGGGATAACAGCCCTGGATCTGGGATAACAGCCCTGGATTGCTCATAGGGGCTCCCTGGATCTGGGATAACAGCCCTGGATCACTCACAGCTCTGGGGCTGTGTGCCCTCACTCCCTGCACAGGGGGACTGCAAGGGCTGGGGCACAGCACGATATTGGGGTGTCTCTGGTGTCCCCAACACCCAGACCTCTCAGTGCTCTGCATGTCCTTGGCCAGAGCTCTGGGCTGGGCACTCCCAGGGCTCCCAAACCCTCTCTCCCCACCTGTGCAGGGAGGTGGGAGCAGGTGGGTGAAGCCCAGAGGTGGGGAGAGCTGTGCCATGACCCAGGAATCACACTTGTGGGAGCGTGGCTGCAAAGAGGAGCTCCCAGCAAAGGTTTTGGGAAGGGAGAGTGCAGCTGCTGGCTTCCTCCTGCTCCCTGCAGCACCTCCCTGTAACCCCACAATGCTGACCTGAGCCTGAGGTGTTTCCTGGCGCACAGTGCAGAATGGCAGCCCTGGGGAGCAGCAGGAGTGTTCTGGAAGGCAGGTGGGGACTCAAATCACCTCGGGAAAGCTGGGGACAGGCAGGGGGGGACAAAGAGCTCCCCGTGGCCGAGCGGCTGGCGCAGTGAGGGGGTGACCTCCCCCTGGGCCAAGCTGTTGAAATGGGGGAGCAAGGTCAGGCTCCCTGCAGAGGGTGCAGGGGCTGACGTCAAAGGAAGCAGCTGTAATTCACAGGTTCCTGCGAGTGCTGGTCTGCAGGCCGTAATTCATCCCAGAAATGTCATTTCAGCCTTGAGCATTATCGCTGCTCTGCCGTGTCCCACTGCTGGGGCAGATAACGGGGCCTGGGGAGTAGGGGGGCTGCTCCTCACTTCAGCCCCAGGCTCAGCAGCTCAATGGATTTCATATTCAGCTTTCTGTGGGTTCCTGTGCACAGAGGCTCAGCCTGGCTCGTTATTCCACAGTGTGTTGTGTTGTCCATCGTTTGTGGCGGTGTTCATAGGGGTCTTAGGATGAGGGAAGAGACAAGGCTTGATTCAGAAGGCTTGATTTATTATTTTATGATATATATTATATGAAAACTATACTAAAAGAATAGAAGAAAGGATTTCATCAGAAGGCTAAGAATAGAAAAAGAATTATAATAAAGGCTTGTGACTGACCGAGACAGTCCAGAAACCTGGACTGTGATTGGCCGTTCATTAGAAACAACCACATGAGACCAATCCCTGATGCACCTGTTGCATTCCACAATAGCAGATAACCATTGGTTACATTTTGTTCCTGAGGCCTCTCAGCTTCTGAGGAGAAAAAATCCTAAGGAAAGGATTTTTCAGAAAATATCACAGCTACAATCATTATCCCTTATTATCAATTGTCTCCCATCGAAGCTTGGCCTCGATGACCTTGGAGGACTTTTCCATCCTTACTGACTGCACTGTGCTGATCTGTCACCTGTCAGTAGAAGTCAGAATGCTGCTCCGTGCCCTGGGCCGCAGCTCCGTGTTGGGGATGCCTCGGGGCAGGGCAGAAGCTGCTCACGGGGGGCTCTGCCTGCCGAGCCCCGGGGCCGGAGCTGCTCAGGGGGGCTCTGCCGAGCCCCGGGGCCGGGGCGGCTCCGCGGGGCCCTCACGCTCCCGGCCCCGTGTGCTGTGCTCGGGGAGCGGGGCCGGCCTTGGCCCGCGGGGCCCGGCCCGCCGTGAGGGCCCGCAGTGACGGCTCTTATCTCCCGCCTGACGGGGCAGAATCCTTCAGCACCGCGTACTTAAGGCCGCGCACGGCGGGGCCGGGCCAGAGCAGCGATCGGCGCAGACGGACGGACACCGGGACAGCGCGGACACCGCTGAGGGCACCGCCACTGCCACCGCCAGAGCCACCACTACTGCCCGGCCACCACCGCAGGCACCACTGAGGGCACCGCCACTGCCACCACCGCAGCCACTGCCCAGCCGACGCTCCAACCCCTCAGGAGATGCTGCCAGCCACGTCCAAGCTCTGCGCCGCCATCTCCTACCGCCACCTGCGCAACATGACCGGTGAGTCCGGCTGCGGGCCGGGACAGCTCCTGTCCGGCTGTCTGAGACAGGATGGGGCTGGGGCAGTCCCTGTCTGGCTGTTTGGGACAGGATAAAACCAGGACAGCCCCTGTCCGGCTGCCTGGGGCTCGGGGATTCTCTCCCCGCTGTCACAGGTAGAGTGAGATTTTCTGACAAAAGTTTATTAGAGAAGCTCCTGTTGAGTCACAAGCTCCAGAAAGGGCTCACTTTCTTCCTAAACTCCTCAGAGTGGTGGCTTGGGCCTCGGCGATGTTCTCCCCACTCTGCAGCATGTTGGGTTCTGTGATTTACTGTCCCTGAAACCCTAAACCCTGTCACTGAGGGGCTGGCTCGTGTCCCTGTGACCAGCTCTGGCTGTGAGAATTTTGTACCTCTGTGCTCCATTTCCATGCTCTTTCCTGGGCACCTGCACGTTTCTCCTCAGTGTTTTTACTGCTGCAGGGAGCTGGAGCCCAGTTCAGGATTGCTTAGTACAGCCTACCCCAGTGTGATGGCAACCAGCTGCTCCCTGTGCCTGTAGGGACACCGAGATGGTGGCAAGCAGGGACTTTTCCATGCTGTGTGTTTAAATGGGGGAAAAGCCCCACGGTAAGGGCCAGGTGGTGCTGGTGGGTGACACGCTCTCTCCCCAGGTCTGAGGAGACAAGCTGCCGTGGCCATCAGCCAGGAGCTGAGCAGGCTGGCCAGCCACAGCCCAGGACCCAGCACTTGGATCCACCAGGTGCGCAGGAGAAGCTCCTTGCTCAGTAAGTGACACACCTGAGGGGTCTGTTCCTTTCCTGCTGGGGGGAAACCCTCACAGGCTGGGGGAAAACCTGTTTGAGGGTGGGCTGTGCTTCTGCTGAGCCACAGGCAGAGTGGGAACTGGGTGTAATCCCCATCCCCTGGACACAGAGAGGGGTATTTGGTGTAGGTAAAGCTCATCTGGCACATTACACTGCTCTTGCTCAGCCCTGCCTCTATCTGCAGGCTCAAGGCTGGAGGAGAAACCCTTCAGCGAGATGGAAATGTCTTACATCAAGCAAGGAGAGGAGGCCCTGCAGAAATCCCTCAGAATCCTGGAGGACCAGGACGACTGGAAGACAGAGACGGTGGCGGTGGGTGCTGTGCCCTGTGGTGCTTCCTTGCAGCCCTCCCTGCCCCTGAGAGCAGCTCTGGTGGTAACTCTGCCATCCCCTCACAGGGTAACGGGGACAAAGTGCTGAGCAAGGTGCTGCCAGACGTGGGGAAGGTGTTCCGGCTGGAGGTGGTGGTGGACCAGCCCCTGGACACGGTGTATGGAGAGCTGGTGGACAACATGGAGCAGATGGGAGAATGGAACCCCAGCGTCAAAGAAGTCAGGGTAGGAGAATGTGTCAGATCTGTCACTGCCAGCCTGTGTTCTGTGCATTTCCTGCTGCAGATGTAGAGGAGGTTTTGCAGTATCTGTGTTGAGGAGAGTCTGGAGCAGCTTCTGTGTGATTAATTCTGCAGGAAATTAATGCAAGGAAGCACCTTGCACTTTCCTGCAAGGAGCTGCCAGTTCTGCTGGAAGGTGGGGCTGATCTGGGGAAGAAATAGGCACAAGGAATCAGAGAGGCAGTAAGGGAATAGCTTTTCACTCGGGAATTGAAAACAGTACTCACCTGGGGGCGAGCAATATTTGGAATTATTGTCATTGTCAAATCTTTGTCAGACCCTGTATCTGAACACCTGGTAACCAGAGGCACTTTTAGCTGTGCTTGCAGTAAATGAAAGTTTTAATTCTGAACTGCAGATCCTGGAGAAGATTGGGAAGGACACAGTGATCACCCACGAGAAGGCGGCCGCGACCCCTGGGAACATCGTGGGGCCCCGGGACTTTGTGAGCGTGCGGTGCTCCAGGAGACGTGGCTCCACCTGTGTCCTGGCAGGGATGTCCACCACCTACGGGGCCATGCCCGAGCAGGAGGGCTTCATAAGGTACCTGCACCTGCTCAGTCCGTGATGTGTGAGCAGGGAGGAGATTCCCACAGGGCACAAGGGTTTTACTGCGGGCTCAGGGTCGCTGGGTTTCTACAGGCAGCAGGAGCTGCTGCAGAAAGCCCAAAGTGTATTTTTGAGGCTGGATAAAGTCCAAGTTTGGGTCTGACCTGAGCCTCCTTCCCCACCAGGGCTGAGAATGGTCCCACCTGCATGGTGCTGCGCCCGCTGCCTGGCAGCCCCTCCCGGACCAGGCTCACCTGGCTGCTCAGCATTGACCTCAAGGTACCTGGGGCTGGGGGGAGCCTGGGGGAGCCCGGGGCTCTGGGGAGGCTGGTTCTGCTCACAGGCTGTGTCTGCTCTCCCTAGGGGTGGCTGCCCAAGACCATCATCAACCAGGTCCTGTCCCAGACACAGGTGGACTTTGCCAAACACCTGCGGCAGCGCCTGGCCCGGCCGGTGCCTGCGGCCTGCTGACCACCAGGGCCTGCTGACCACAGCCTGCTGACCACCAGGGCCTGCTGACCACAGCCTGCTGACCACCATGACCCACTGACCACAGCCTGCTGACCACCAGGGCCTGCTGACCACCAGGGCCTGCTGACCACCATGACCCACTGACCACCATGACCCACTGACCACCAGGGCCTGCTGACCACCAGGGCCTGCTGACCACCATGACCCATTGACCACCAGGGCCTGCTGACCACAGCCTGCTGACCACCATGACCCACTGACCACCAGGGCCTGCTGACCACCACCCACTGACCATGACCTGCTGACCACCACGACCTACTGACCACCACCCACTGACCACCCCATTCAGGGCTTCCTTCAGGGGCCAAGTATGGAATCTTGTCACTTCAATTAGCTAAGGCCTTTAATAGCAGACTCCACTAATTAATACATAGTTACACTCAATAAATAGAAGTTTATTTATTGAAGCTCGTTGTCTAAGTGCAGGACTAAAAATTTAACTCCTGCAGTTGCTTAACTGAGCACGTGCTGGCCCAATCAGCCAACTCCACCCTCCCTAATTACTTTCAATGAATAAATAAAGCTTTAATTAGTGCTGTCTACAATTAAAGGTCTGGGCTAATGAGTTATTAGGGAGACAGCTGACTGGGAAGGCACATCCTCAGTGAGGCAAACACAAACTTGACTGAACCTCAACTTTTACTCTCCCAAAGCTTAAACACAGCACTTATTTAACAATTTTGTTATGCTCTAATTTATTTTTTTCTGTACCAACACATAAGAAGTGTCAAATTATTTATTCACCCAAAGCTCTGCAGTGATGATTATTAGGCCCCATGTAACTCCTGTGCACAGGAGATCTTCAGCTCAAAAGATCTCCAAGTGTAGCTACTCTGAGTTTCAATGTCATTTGTAACAATTTACAAGACAAATACAAGAATAAAAAGAAGAGTTAAAGCCTTTATTTTAAAACTGGTTTCCAGTCTGTGGGGAAAAAAAAATACAGTTTGGACAGAAGCCCAAATTTCAGTCTTGCATGCAGCCGTGTTGTTCCAACAGAGCCGTCCTGGCTGGGAGCTGTTGGCCACCATCAGCCAAACACCCCTGAGCACAGGGGTCACTGTAGCCACACCTGGCAGGTCCTGAGCTGTCACAGCCCGGGAGAAGAAGGTTCTTCAACACCCCCTTCTGCAGTGAGTGACACTCTAAAGGTACTGGGGGCTCCCAGAGAGGCCCCACAGCAGCACAAACACCCCAGAACTGCCTCCCGGGGCAGTGGGGAGCTGTGAACACACACACACAACACCTGCCAGCCAGGGCTGCATCCACCTCGGCCTCTTGGCTCCTTGGCTGATCACTGAGAGAGAGATGGAGGTTCCTCTGCAGCAAACCCACAGTGCTGGGGGTTATGGCTCCCAGGGTGGGCTCCTCCTGCCATCCACCTCTGTCTCCACGTGGTACAGGACATCGGCCAGCGTGTGCTCCACCACGGCGCCCCAGCCCATGTCACTCATCTGCAGGGGAAAGCACACTTAGCTCCACTCCTGGACAAGGAGGGACCACACAGCCCAGGGCTGTTTCCCTCCTCAAAACAGTACTGGCAGGGGGCAAATTCCAAGTGTTTCCTTGAACAACAATTCAGCCCCCTTACTGACAAATGAGGCCAACACAGGCAACAATCTGCCAAGAGGAACAAGATAGCAGCACCTATTATTTAATTAAAATTTAATGATTCATTTGGATATCTGTCCTTACGTATTTTTTAACACAATCCTTTTGGCTACACTGTCCAGGTACTGAGACTGAAGGACAGGTACAGGTGTGGTATGAATCACACCAAAACATCTTTGATTTGAACAATGAGGTTTTCAAATGGGGGGAGAAGCTTCAGTTTTACTTACAGGATGGTAAGTGATGTCTCTTGGTGGATACTTGAAATATGGCCCAAAGTTTATGGAAACCTGTGGAACATATATTTTCATTAAATCTAAAAATCTAGGAAAATCTCTTTAGTCCTCCATTCTCATTCCTTCCTACTCCTGAGCCTCCCCACACCCTGTGCAAGCCCACAGGAACAAACACTGCTGATGTTACTTCAGCAATTTGATAATCTTGTTACACATGTGAACAGCAAGATTGTTCCAGAGTCACTAGAATGATTCCCATCTTTCCTTTTCACTTGGCACACTTTGTGCATAAACACACTTTGTGTGTGAAACTGATGGATTTAGGAATTCCCTTTCCAAGACCCCTCACTTACCGTGCAGCCTTTGTACAGAGAGATAGCAGGAAAATAAACCCCCTCAAAGATGTCCTTAAAGGCAACTCCTTGGCTGACACCATTCTTGAAGAATATGATCTGAAAAATGAAGGGTTTTCCCACTGATGGTGGCTGTCAGGACACAGCAATCCTGACAAGATTAACGCCTACTCCCTTTCACTCAGGCCAGGCACGTGTTGAAGTGACATCAACAACTCACCTGGCTTCCAGGGGCTTGCTTTAGGCTCTTCTCTGCTTTGTCCACAAAATCCTTCTCTTCAAAGTACAAGTAGCTTTTGAATTTGATCAAAGCCTGAAAAAGCAGCAAACAATGTCAGGGACAAGCCCAAAATCTGTTACTTGTCACCTGCTCAGGGCCAGGCGTGCCTGGTGTCAGAGTACCTGTGAGGAGTGACTCCCACAGCTCAGAGATTTCAGAGCCAGGAGGGGAAGGTGAAAGGAGATGTGGGTAATCCCATCTAGGAGTATTCTGCTTTCTTGAGATCAACACTTTGTGCCTCTCCCCCAGGAACCACAGAAGTACCAAGAGGCAGGATGGGAAGGGTGCACGGAAAGGGGCACGAGTGAGGCCACAGCAACTCATTTTCCATTCCACCTGCCAATGCTTAATCCAACAGTGAACTTGCACCTTACCTTGTCTTTGTAGGTGTCAGGCAGGGATTTGGCTGTCTCAGTATCCTCTGGAAGGTTGATATAAAACCCCAGGACATCGCCCTGTCCGTAGCCAGAGGAATAGTGTTTCCCTATGGACTGGTGAAACTTGGTTCCCTTTTTGCTGCGCCAGGAGTAACTGAACTTGTCATATCCCAGAGGGGCCTGGAGGTTCCCTGTGGAAACAAACTCTTCATGGTGAACACAGGGAGCGCAGCAGCAGCACCTGCTGAGAAATGTTTTGTAAGATTATTTACCCAAGGGCTGTGACCAGCCTAATCTGGCAGCTGTGTCTGGAGGCATCTCGTCCATGGAGATTTCGAAGTACCAGGCTCCCTTCCGCACGCCATGCGAGGCCCTCACCATGGAATAGCCCTTCTCCCCAACCACAGTCAGCCTGTCATCAGAGATCTTCAGCTGGGGAGCTGCAGGGGAGCACACACTTGTCATTTTTAACGTGGTGATGTCAAGAGGCAAGTGAACACAGAGGTGGATTTAAGCTCTGACTGGGAGTGAGAGGTGACTGAGATGCCTCTGGAAGGAAACACAAGTGCACGCCCTAAGGAGCTCTGTACCTCGGTCATGCAGTGCCAGGAGGACTCGCTCATACAGGCAGGCTCTGTACAGGTCCCCAGGAATTGGTTTTCCTGCCCAACAGTCCAGCTCCAGCTTTTCTGGGTCGGGGGCGTGGGGGTCAGGCTCGGCCAGGATGTAGCGATAGCCGTCCTTGTTGAAGGGGTGCTCCAGAGGGTACCCGTGAGGGGGCAGGCGCTGAGCGGCGAACAGCGGGTCACTGCAACACACAAACACCACGCTGGCATCCCCAGGTGCTGGCACTTGGCACCCCAGGACAGCCCCTGCAGAGCTGGCCCTGTGCTCAGGGGCTGCACACTCCGAGTGTAGTCATCCACTGCAAATCATTGATAGCCCGGGACCCATCAGTCACCCATGACATCATCAGTGACATCATAGGAGGGACCCCCAGACACCCACTCAGGGCAGAGACAGCGGGGAGGCAGCTTAGGGCATCACAAGTGCCACCGTTCCTGACTGGTACCTGTGGGAATCCATAAAATCAGAGGGTTTGGGAAAGCTGCAAAAGGCCTCAGAGACAGCAGAACTGTGATTAGAGCTGAGCAGCAGCCATGAGATTGGGCAGCAGAAAAATTATTTAAAAAGTAGAAAGGCAAGGACAAATAGAACAATGGTCTGTGTATTAACACTTGTCTAGAATAACTCCCTAAGCTGCAGAAAAGTTTATCTAGAGAGATATTAGGCAGTTTTAAGCTTAATAATGGAGCTCTGAGCATTGTGTTTTAAGGCTTATGAGCAGGTATTGTATTTGAAATAAGCAAGCATTGTTTAACCAAAGGTACCTGTGCTTAAAGTGGTTGGATAGAACTACTGTCAATGTGCTTTTGCTTTGTGTAATTGGTCAAAAAACTTTTAAAGTGAGTTGTAACATTAAGTTCTTTGTCTGCTGCCTGGGATCTGAGCTGCTGGCATCTTCCTATTGTCATAACCATGCTGGAAAATCAAACAGCTCAAGGCACGTTCCCAGCAGTCCTGTCCTGTTTGTGATTTGTACACAGCCCCCAGGCAACAACAATACACATCCCTGTGCCATCCCCATGTCCATCCCTGTGCCCATCCCCGTGTTCATCCCTGTGCCCATCCCCATGTCCATCCCCGTGTCCATCCCCGTGTCCATCCCCGTGCCCATCCCTGTGCCCATCCCCATGTCCATCCCTGTGCCCATCCCCATGTCCATCCCTGTGTCCATCCCCATGTCCATCCCTGTGCCCATCCCTGTGCCCATTTCTGTGCCATTCCATGTCCATCCCTGTGTCCATCCCTGTGCCATCCCTGTGTCCATTCCTGTGCTATCCCTGTGCCATCCCATGTCCATCCCTGTGCCATCTCTGTGCCCATCCCTGTGCCATCCCTGTGCCATCCCTGCCCTCCATGGCCCCTCAGCTCTCACCTCCGGGTTTTCTTGGCCGTGCCCGTGGTGCCCCCGTCCTGCTGCTTGCGCTTGGCCCCTCTGCCCTTGCCGCTGCCCCCGGCAGCCATTCCCCCTGCACACAAAACCAGCCCTGCTCAGGAGCTGCTGCTGCTGGCCAGCGCTCTCCCC